ACTCCTCCTATTTTTTATGGAGAGAACTATGAATTGTGGATAATGAAAATGAAATCTTACGTGGAGTCTTTGGATTTGTGGAAATTTATAGAAGATAATTATGATTACAAAGATAAAAAAAAAAATTGAAAGTTAAAGGTTAAACCTTGTCTATTAACTGTCGTTTTATAAACCATCTTCACTAGACTCTTTATTCTCAAAACACCAAAGCAATTTGAGACTATTTGAAGGATGAATACACACAAAATGAGAGAATTTAAAACATATAAGTTTTGAACTTTAAAAGGGAATTTGACTTGCAAAGAATAAAATTATTTAAGACAATCAAGAAATACTCATATATAAGTACATAAAGGATTAAGTTAAATAAGTAAGAACTTAAATTTAAGTTTTGATGTAAATTTATCTTTATAGAAAAGTTCTTAGATATGTCTCTAAGAATTCTAACACTTGATTTAACAACATTAATTTTTAAGAATATAATTATATATTTAATAATTATAAAATTTAGTTAAAAATTTCTTAATTATATGAACTTAATTAAATACTTAATGGCATTATAAAAATCTTCAAATTAATTTAATATATCAAATTCTATATTATAAATAAATCTCTATTATGTAAAAATGATGCAATCAATTTTTTTTTTATCTAAAAAGTTAGAGATTATCAAGATTGATTCTCACCTTGTTCATAATTGTTGATACTTTAAGAAAATTTGCATAAGATAAAATTCAAACATTAAATTTTTTATTAAATAAATTGAACTTACATACACTGATATAATGTTTAATAGTATAACACTAATTTTTGTGTCATACCTCATTTCATTTTATGGACCTATTTTGAGTTTTTATATTAAATCAAATTAATATTTTTTTTATTAGTTATCCAATCAAATATAAAAGCTTCTTTAACTATTTAAATCAATTTTTAGTTTTTTTAATTAATATTATGTATAATAATAATAATAATAAGATTATTAATTATTATTATTATTATTTTTTAAATAAAATTACATTAATTTTTAGTTTTTTAAATTAAAATTTCAAATAGTTATATTGTTATTATTAATAAAATTAATTTTAAAAAATTTAATCTCTCTCTTATACACACACATGTATGTTTGTATTAAAAATGTAATATAAAAAACTTATAATTATTAATTATTTTAATTTGAGATCTTTAATCTATAATTTAAAAGTGGAGCTTAACACATGACAACCATAGTATCAAACACAATTACATAACTACAAACTTATCAAAGATAATTAATAAAAGTCTAAAAGGTGCACGAAATATGCTAATAACATCATTGGGAAAATGCATGTATGGTAGGTTGGTTGAATACTTTGTACAACATGGTGGTCAAGCAAATGTCCAAATGAGAGAAGGTTAAGCAAATGCCTAACAACTTTAAATGAATGACTACCTAACCAACCAATTGTAACATTTATACATTTAACCTAGCTTAAAATTTCATTGAGTTTCCTGATGGTGTAAAAGTCATTAGATATAAATGAGTCTTTAAAACAAAGAAAGACGCATAAGACAACATTGAGAGACATAAGGTAAGACTTGTTGTCAAAGGGTTCACTCAAAGAAAAAGAATCAATTACAAGGAGACTTTTTCTCCCGTGTCTAAGAAAGATTCTCTTCAAGTAATTATGGCATTGATAGCTCATTTTAACCTTGAGTTACATTAAATGAATATGAAAACAATGTTTCTCAATGGTGATCTATAAGAAGAGGTTTACATAAAACAATCTAAAGGATTCTTCTCTAGTAATGGTCAGTATCTAGTCTGCAAGTTTAATAAATCCATATATGGAGTAAAACAAACTTCCTGCTAATGGTGTTTAAAATTGCATGAGGTTATATCTTCATTCAACTTTGGAAAAAACATCATAGATCAATGTATATACCTAAAAGTTGGTGGGAGTAAGATTTGTTTTCTTATTTTATGCAAAAATAATATTCTACTTGCAGCTAATGATAAATATATGATATATAAGGTGAGATAATTTCTTCTAAAGAACTTTGATATGAAGGGATATAGGTGAAACATCTTATGTCATAGGTATTAAGATCTATAGAGAAAGATCTCGAGACTTTTAGATTTGTCTCAAGAGACTTATATCAATATCAATAAGGTTTTAAAAAGGTTTAACATGAAAGACTGTTAATTAAGTGTAGCTTCCATTGTGAAAGTTGATAGACTTAAAATTGAGTTAGTACCCAAAAAATGACCTTGAGCAGAAACACACATGAAAATTATTTCATATGTTTTAGTTGTTAGAAGTCTTATGTATGATTAGGTTTGTAGTTGACTTGACATTGCATTTGTAGTTAGAGTTTTAGGAATATATCAAAGTAAGCTAGGTATTGACCATTGGAAAGTTGCAAAAAAAGGTAATGAGACATCTTCGAGGAATAAAGGATTATATGTTCATGTACAGACAAACTAATGATTTGGAGGTAATAGACTACTCTGATTCAGACTTAACTAACTATATTGATACAAGAGAATCTACATTTAGTTACATCTTTATGTTAGCTTATGGAATTCTATCTTGGAATAGTGTAGAGCAGACCCTGACTGTTACTTCTACTATAGAAGTTGAGTTCATTTCTTGTTTTGAAACTACCTCACATGATGTATGGTTGAAGAGTTTTATATCTAGGTATAGAATTATAGACTTTATTTATTTATGATTACTAATAACAAGAGTTGAAGTCAAAGTAAACATATAGATATAAAATATTTAGCCATAAGAAAACATGTCAAGGAGGGAAAAAAAGTAGTCATTGAGTATATAAACACTAAGTTAATAATTGCTGATCATTTGACTAAATATATACCAAAGAATTTTAAGGATCATATAGCACAAATGAGACTTGGTTCCATGATGTGACAATCATTACATGTACTTTTATTATTTTGATAAGACTCTTATTCAATTTTGATATTTTTCTCATTTATTTTGTGTGCATATTTGTTTATTTATTTTGAGAAATCTCATTTAATTTTGACCTAGAATAAACATGTATTTTATTCATTAAGTTTAAAGCTAGTGTTAAGAGGTTTGATATATTATAATACATGAGAGATAATACTTACTATTAGAGGACCTGTCACTTTGATTCAGATATTGGGTTTCTTTGTTATGATTGATAATAAATAAATGGATCAAGTGGGAGAATGTTACCAGTTGTGAGCAGTTTTGATTCCTAATTTTTAGAAGCATAACTTGTTAACTTACGATCCATTCAATCTAATATCCACATTCAGATTTTTTTTGTGGGACATTTGATCTTTTTCTGATTTTTTGATTATCATTACCTCTCCATGTTTTGAGCTCTATGATGGATAAGGCTCTATAAATACACATGTATTAAGCTATTTTGGGTCATTGAACCTGCTCTTTTCTTCAGAAAAACAACACCATTGTGTCTAAGTGAGTGAGAGTTTAGAAAAATCAAAATTGTGTGGGTTTGAAAGAAGTGCAAGTCGATTTATAATAACAGGAGGTTAACTTTTGCTTTTTATTTATTATTAGTTTGCACATATCTATTCATGTGACATGTTCTTCATTTTGTTCACCTTCTTCATTTTCAACGGATTCAAGTATAGGGTTGAAACAGAGATGGAAATGGGTGACATGAATGACTCATTGTGATTATAGGTGGGGCTTCAATAACTTTGTTATTTTGAGGTATTGTGCTCTATTTTTCGACAATGTTTTGTAGTTTTTTCTAGGTGGTGAGAATGAAAGGGGGAATGTGATTGGATATACTTGAGATAGAGGTGAGGTGGCTTTGAAAAGAGAAAAGGTTGAGGTGAGTTGGGGGAAGAAGGAGTAGAAAGGTGAAACAAGGTGGGGCTCTTGCATTTGTTGGGGGAGGGAGTTCTAACATTGTTGCATTGGTGTTGAGATGTTGGAAAGTGGTGAATTAGACATTAAGTTTCGATAACGGAGAGTATTAGTCTAGCGTAATGGGTAGTTGCCAAGGAAATCTCCGTCACTTAAGCTTTGCCTCAAACACCAACACTACATTGTGAGTAGCCACTAAAAGTGGAAGATGAGGTGAATCAAGAACGTTGATATCTTTGAGAATGTCAATGTGAAGAAACTTGATGAGGACAAGGCCACGTGAGGGGATTGAGAACCAACGGTGATTGGAGGAGAGAGTTGAGGTCAATCTAAAATCAAAACTAAAGGAGACCAAAAACCCGTTTGTAAAAGACTAAAAAACACTAGTTATTATAACACCCATAAATTTGAAAAGACGTTGTATTCCTTCTTTAAATTAATGATTATAATTTTTTTAAATAAACCATTAATACCATTATCTATTAATTTAAAATTAACAATAATAATTGTTGTCTTCTTAATTTACAAGACATAGTATAGATTATCAAAACAAAAATATAAAAATTCCATTTGATAAGTAACTTCTGCTATACAAATAGGAGTTAAATTAAAATATTTTAAAAATTTAGGGATACAAAACATAAAAAAGGGACTAAAATAAAAATATATAGGAGTAATTACATGTTGAATTTTGTTTTAGCTTTGTCTTATTTTAAGATCATGTTTAAGAAAATAATTTATTTGCAAAAGAATTTCACACGTGGCCTATCTTACCGTATCTTATCTCGTCGCGACTGTGTCTGTTGTGCATATTTGGATTCCGGTTAGAAAGTTCCAAACAGAGTGTCCACACAGTCATACAACAATCCATTTCTCGTCATTTGTTTTGCTGACTCAAAAATTTCTCTCAGCCCTAAGATATTCCTCAAAACAACGACTTGAACCTCTCCCTCACTATCAATACCTCCAAAGATGAAAACTTTCTCTTCAATTCTACCACCCCACCATTTTCCTTGCACAAAATTTAACTCTTTCACTGCCCCAAGGTACTCTTTTATTCTTCTCCCCCATTTTCATGCATCAATGTCTTTTTATTTTCTTATATTTGTTTTGGATAAAACTTGGATACAATACTTGATAATATGTGCTGTTCATCAACCAAAATCTAATTCATCTCTTTAACTGCTGTTTTCGTCCTGATAACTAAAATCAATAGCAATTACCAAGATGAGATACAGGGCTAATAATATCTAAATCTTTTTCCATTTGTTTTGTAATTTTCTTTATTATGATATTTTTGAAACTTGAATTTGTCCCTTATGAATATTTTACAGCAGGACTCAAGTATCTTTTCCTGCAAAGGTCTTCTTGTGCCAGGCAAAATCTGGTAAGCATTTTCATTTTAGATGTATAAATATTTTTAGATGTTGCAATTGGCATGAGGTTTATGTACTATTCTAATGAGCATAGACCTTTCATGGTGCTTTTCACTCAGGCATAGATGAATCTTTGAGCTTAAAAGTAATGTCCCCAACTCTGTTAGCAGCAGAAAAGGAAGAAGCCAAGGCTGTATTGATGTTGTTTTTGAAGAAACAAGGTTTAAGCAATGCGGTTGCAGCTAGAACCGCCAACAAGTCAGATCTTTTCATTGATCACCTTGTCTCAAAGCTTCACTCTAAACACAAATCTCGGTACCTTTCAGGTTCTGTTGCAACGAATTAATTACTGTTCTTTCATAACTTTCTTTTTCTTGGATCCTTCTAAGCATGGTCTCGTTGACATAAACAGGGAGAGAGCTTACAACTATGGAGATTAGGGATGCCCTTATCCCTTATCTTGAATCCCTTTTTGAAGAGCATGGAAATATTCTAGCGAATGTAGTGGAAAATTATCCAAATCCACCCGTGAAGGATAAATCAGCTGTGTCAGTTCCTCGCTCTAGTCCAGTGGTAGACTCTAAGAAGCTTAAAGTAGTGTCTCGAGGGAGTGAGATAGACCCGAATGCCGGCAATCTACGCCCTCATATTGTCTATCTCATGGAATTTGGTATGAATATTGAGCAGATTAGGAGTATCACACGACGATTCCCATCTTTTGCCTACTATAGCTTGGAGGGTAAAATTAAGCCAGTGGTTGAGTTTTTTCTTGAACTTGGAGTGCCAAAAGAGAACATTCCCAATATCCTCGCTAAAAGGCCTCAATTATGTGGAATCAGTCTGTCTGAAAATCTTAAACCCACCATGAAGTTCTTAGAATCTTTGGGTGTTGACAAGAAACAATGGCCAAAGGTGATCTATCGCTTCCCGGCGCTGTTGACTTATAGCAGGCAGAAGGTGAGGGAAAGTGTAGATTTTCTTCATGAATTGGGCCTCTCAGAAGAGAGCATAGGTAAGATTTTAACTCGCTGCCCCAATATTGTTAGTTACAGTGTAGAAGACAATCTCCGACCAACGGCTAAGTACTTTCGTTCTTTGGGAGTTGATGTTGGCATTCTTCTATTTAGGTGCCCACAGAATTTTGGTCTTAGCATTGAGGCTAATCTAAAGCCTGTAACAGAATTTTTCTTGGAGAGAGGATACACTTTGGAAGAAATTGGGACCATGATTTCAAGATATGGAGCCTTGTATACTTTCAGCTTGACTGAAAATTTGACTCCAAAATGGTATTTCTTTTTGACCACAGGTTACCCAACTTCTGAGCTAGTTAAATTCCCTCAATATTTTGGATACAGTTTAGAGGAAAGAATTAAACCAAGATTTGCACATATGAAAACATCTGGAGTGAAGTTACTGCTGAACCAGGTTCTCTCACTGTCAAGCAGCAACTTTGAAGAGGCCTTGAAAAAGAAAATGAAGAAAATGCAAGTTGATTAGGATTCTTATTATAGCACCCAAGTTGTCAATCAGATAATGAGAATTGAGACTTTAAGGCAATGTTTCAGATTAGAATAAGCTCAACTTCATGATATTTTTTTTCTTGGGTCAATGGCACAGTGACTTCTAATTTATGTTAATTGTAAAGTTGCAGTTATAGTTGAAGATGGTCAATCAAAGGCTTGCTCCTGAAACCAAAACACAGCTCATGCTCATTAACTCAAGCATTAAGCTGTCTTGGGAGTGATTCAGAGTATACTAGCTCCTTAAACCAACATTTTCAACCAGGGTTTTTGACATGAATGACCCCTGTCAGCTCTTGCTTGAAATTGCTGCTGTATATGTGATTGTCTTTATCTCCATATATTTACTGGAGTGTTTACTGTGTATTTCATTGTAAAATAGGTTATTAGGTATGCATGAACTGACATGATGCCAAATTTTGCTAATTGCTAGTACTTTATTAAACAAGGACATTCTAATCTGGAAATCATGTGTTTCCTTTCCATTTCTATAAATCATACATATACACTACACACAGAACAATGTATAGCCTTAGAGTATAAGAGTGCGAGAAGAGCTAATCTTGAATGTTTAGGGTGTGATTGGATATACAATTTAATTAAGTGTTTATTCAATAAATTCCTTTTAAATGATAACTTGTACTAAAAATTTAACCATAAAATTTATTGAGATAAGTTGAAAACAATTTTTTATTTTGATAAATTATATCAAGAAGCTCATGAAATAAGTTAAAATGAACTTCTGAGAGGCATTAGCTATTTGTATAAACTATTAATAAGCTCTTCTAAACAGAACTTCTTAAATGGATGATTAACATCATCTTAAAGTAAAACCAATCTTGGTAATCTATGTATGTATGATTGAGATTAGTTCTTTTCATCTCGCATGCTCTCATTCAACATGGTCTTATGTTTTAGATGTATATATATTAGTATTTACCATTTTATCTTTAGCTCTCAGACGTTGCTTATAGGAGCTTTAGATAAGTATTTACCCGTGGAAGGTGAACGAGGCCTAAAACAATAGTTGGAAGAAACGCACACATATGATTCAACTTAAATCATGGTTTTTACAGAGTTTAGTATTGTTGAACGTAGGGAAAATATTTCTCTTGCAGGATTTCTTCTTTCACTAGGAGCAAAGCTCAATATGTAGACGATAAAACTTAAGTACAATTGTAAATTTACTGTTGATATTGTTTATTAATTAAAATTAAAGTTTTATTTTGGTAACATGCAATAGTATTAAATAAAATTTTTAATTAAAATAAAACTCTTATTTTAATTAATCAATAACACCTGTAAAATAACACGTTTTTAAGAAAGTAACGTATTCTTTTGTTTGTAAGAAAGACATGTCTATTATAAACTATACATTGAATAATATACACATGTTTATAATATGTTTGTTTATATTTGTTACCAATATGCCTATTCATTTACTGTACTACAATTTACAGAAAGTTATGTTATCTAATCGATAAAAGATATATCACTGCATAGTCATGTTTATTGATGTATATTGCCCGTTTGTTTAATTTTTTTATAAAAGTAATTTTAATTTTTAAGAATATGTTGAAAAATGATTTATATTTTAGAGATTTTGTGAAAAGTAAAAGTTGTATTATATTTTTATAATTATAAAATAATCTTCTATTTTAAAGGTAGTTATAATTTTAATTTTTTATGAAGAGAGTTGCTAAACAGTACAACGGTAGTCACACGAATTTTATACATATCAGCGTGTATTTTTTCATTAAACCAAATTTAAATTAAAAAAATAAAACAAACAAGCACTTAACAAAAATCAAATCGGGTTGCTGTATGAACAATTTTCATCAAAAAAGAGCATTCCTCTTTTACGAAGAAGTATTCAGACAATTTCTCAAAATAATTAGAAATTAGATTTCTTTAATATTTTTTTTTTCAAAAGCTTACAGGTAAAATTTTCAAATTAAATGATTTTCATATAATCAAAATGTTAAAGATAAAATTATATATTTCATCATCTTATGTTTTACTTTAGTTCTTTAACTTTTTATTTATTTATTTATTTTTATCTTTAAAATTTTATTTTTTTCTTACGTTGATCATTTTTTTTAGCTCTATTATATAATCTATCAAAGACATCTTATATGACATTGAGATTATTTTAACATCGTTTATTTAATTTAATCTAAACTTTTTTATTAAAAAAATGGTGAAGTTTAAGTGGGTACCCTCAGGCCCTAGCAGCAGTAGCTCCCTTTCATAATCTGGACCTCAGGAACTTAAACAAGTTGTACCTCTACGATAACTTTATTGTTGACAATGGCTTCTCAACCTCAGCAGTAACAACTTCTCCGAGAAAATCCTAGCTGGGATCGAGAACCTGATACAGCTGCAAATGCTACATCTTTTCTAAAACAACTTCAGTGGAACACTCCTCAAGGAAATCGAAAATGTTGAATCTTAAAAAATTGAGTTTGACTTATAACTTTAAGCTTGTGCCCAAGGAGATAACTTTGTGCTAATAATGTACTTATATTAATTCTCTTCTTTGACTATGGTCAAACCAGAATTTTTAATTAAAAACTAAAACTTGAAGGCCAAAGCAAAGTGAGTAGAAATTGAGAATAAACCAACACTTTTAAAATATGTCAAAATAGTGTCAACTAGAGTAATGAAACTACCAACCTGCATCGAACTAATCAATTCCCTTTGCCCTTTAGAGTTATCTCATCTCTCTTAAAAAGTGAATTAGCATGAGAGAACAATACTCATTTTTGGACCAAGCTGGCCTCATGATTGAATATCAAACAAGGACTTTTTAACTAATACTATGTGTCTCGAGTAGCCGTGTATACTAATCTTGCATCATATATAGAATATTAAAAGAAAAAAAATATTACACAAGATTATTATATACTTAAAGCTGTTAAAACAGGTGTCTCAGCTCGACTTGATACAAGTAGAAAGTTCAAACAGGTCAGATTTATTTAGTTTAAAATAAAAATGGACTTGCATTTTTATTGCTTAAATCTTGCCTTATGTGAGTTACGAGCAAGCTGACTTGATAATTCAAATAATTTTTTTGTTATTATTTTTTAATTTATTTTTGTAACAGACCATTTTTTTTACTGTTTTTATAAAAAGAGTTCATTTTAGATTATTTTTGTAATAATAAGCCATTTTAGACTATTTTTGTAATAACCTAATAAATCACTTATTTTTTATGTCTAATTTTATTGTTGTTGTTGTCTTTACTTATTTTTGTAATGGGCCATTTTTTTTATTGTTTTTATAAAATTAATATATTTTAAGTTGTTTTTGTAACAACAAGTTATTTTAGACTGATTTTATAAAAATCTAGTAAGTCACTTATTTTTTTTGTCTAATTTTTATATTAGATCATTTTTTTAAGCTGTAACATACCACTATTTTTTTTTTATTGTTGTTTTTATAACAACTATTTTTTTATTTTTATATACATAATAAGTTCACAAAATAAAAAATAAATTTTTAATGCGTAACTAAGTTAAAACAAAATAATTTCAAGTCTTATTTTTTTTTAGTGTCCAAACTTATTCATTTAACAAATTCTTTTTATCTCGGTAAGTGATATATATGCTATAAGTGATTATCATGTGACATCTTAATAACATTGTATTACTATGAATAACCATTCATTCAAAATCAATAATTACTTTCCATATGACTGCAAGAATTGGGACTTAACCTTTCCTTTAGAAGCATCCTCGTATGCCATCCACAGTTCATTGTCGCCGTTCACCGTCGCTATTTGTCGTCATTGTTCACCATCACTAAGTCATTTTCACTGTCCGTTGTTCATGTACGCTATTTTTCTTTTCTTGTCCAATATTTCTCCTTATTTCTTGTCTCATATGAAATTGAAGGAAAACGAGTTGAGAAGTTGAGCGGTGACAAGGTGTGTTTCACTGAATGGGAAGGGTCTGGCAAAGGTGGGAATAATCCAGTGAACAGAGAATGTCATGTGGCACGTGCAGAGACCACATCCCACCATAGGACTTCACTGACAATGGAACTGAAACTACAGGAATTAGGCAGGGGAAGCTGGCATGCCATTCATTTCATATGCAGCTTCAGAATTTATAGAATTGTTTGTGGAAGTTGGTACGTCTAGTATAAGGCCACCTTAACACTACATAAAATATCTCAACCAAACTTTAAAGATAAAAATAATGAAAAATAAGTTGAATAAAAAAAGTTAGAAAGTTGAACCGAATCCTACCTAAAGTTAAAAGTTAAATGAGTAAAAAGTGTAATTTTACCAAAGCTAAAACAAACAAACTTTATACCTCAAACTATTTATATCCGCCATACATCCCATTTAAGACTAAAACTATCCTACCCTGTATTTCTTCTTATTTGATTGCATTCACCATATCACGTTTCATATCTTATCACACTTCATTTTTTTTTTTCTCACCTCATAGGCTGTAATGTCAATTATTTTGATCACATTTGTAACGGTTGTTATATTTAGGAGTTGCGTTAATTCCGACAGTTGATGAATGAACCTCCTGAAACAGCTGTTGTGACAACTACCAGCCCTCTATGCTTTCCCTCCGTCCCTTCTTCTTCCTATGTCCCAAGTCCTATTCTTTTCCACGCAAATGCAAATTTCCCAAACCCATTTACAATTATCACAAGGTAGTGCTACATCACAAGTTACTACTTGGTTATCTTCACGTTCTTAATGTGCTGAAAAGTTTGTGTCTTTTCTCTGTGCAGTTACTGTGTGAAAATTTGAGTTTTTCTGCTTTCAGTACTGCATTGAGCTATGCCTACACATGCGATGAAGGGGATGCAAATGCTATTGATTTCTTGCACATCATGGAAGAACGTGGGGTTCGTGCCAATTCCCAGACCTATTTGTGGCTCTTAGAAGGGTGTTTGAATTCTGGGTCGTTTTCTGATGGTTGGAAGCTTCATGTGAAGATTCTGAAGATGGGTTTTTGTGCTGAATTGGTTTTGTGTGAACGTCTTATGGAATTTTACATTGCCTTTGGTGATTTGGATGGTGCAGTCAAGGTTTTTGATGAAATGCCTGTGAGACCCTTGTCTTGTTGGAACAAGATTTTGCATAGGTTTGTTGCTGAGAAGTTGACTGGTCATGTTCTGGGTTTGTTTAGGCAAATGGTGAGGGAAGAGGTGAAGCCTGATGAGAAGACTTTTGCTGTGGTTTTGAGGGGTTGTAGTGGCGGTGCTGTTCCGTTTCAGTGTGTGGAGCAGATACATGCAAGGGCTATAACTCATGGTTATGAGAATAGTTCGTTGATTTGTAATCCTCTGATTGATTTATATTTTAAAAATGGTGTTCTGAATTCTGCTAAGAAGGTTTTTGACAGTTTACAGAAGAGGGATAGTGTTTCTTGGGTAGCTATGATATCCGGTTTATCACAAAGTGCATGTGAAGAAGAAGCAGTCCTTCTATTTTGCCAGATGCATACGTCAGGAATCTGTCCTACCCCTTATATATTTTCAAGTGTTCTAAGTGCCTGTACAAAAAAAGAGTTTTTTGATCTTGGGGAGCAGCTCCATGGCCTTGTTCTGAAGCAGGGATTCGCATCTGAAACCTATGTTTGCAATGCCCTTGTAACATTATATTCCCGTTTAGGGAACTTGACTTCTGCTGAGCAGATTTTTAATGCAATGTTGCAGAGAGATGGTGTTTCATATAACTCACTCATCTCAGGTCTAGCTCAACAAGGTTATAGTGATAGAGCCTTAGAGTTGTTTAAGAAAATGCGTCTTGATGGCCTAAAGCCTGACTGTGTTACAGTTGCTAGTGTTTTAAGTGCCTGTGCATCAATTGGGGCTCTTCTGATTGGAAAGCAATTCCACTCATATGCATTAAAAGCTGGAATGTCTTCAGATATAATCTTGGAAGGTTCACTGCTTGATCTTTATGTAAAATGCTCGGATATAAAAACTGCCCATGATTTTTTTCTTTCAACTGAAACTGAAAATGTAGTGTTGTGGAATGTGATGCTTGTGGCTTATGGCCAGTTAGACAATCTACATGAATCGTTTAAAATATTTACACAGATGCAGATAGAAGGCATTGTACCTAATCAATTCACCTATCCAAGTATTTTAAGAACTTGTTCTTCCTTGGGAGCTCTTGATCTAGGAGAACAAATTCATACTCAAGTCCTAAAAACTGGCTTTCAGTTCAATGTGTATGTCTCCAGTGTGCTTATCGACATGTATGCTAAACAGGGAAAATTAAATACTGCCCTGAAAATCTTTAGAAGATTAAAAGAAAAAGACGTCGTTTCTTGGACAGCCATGATTGCTGGGTATGCACAACATGAAAAGTTTGCTGAAGCTCTCAACCTCTTTGAAGAAATGCAATATCAGGGGATACAATCTGATAATATTGGATTTGCAAGCGCAATCAGTGCATGTGCAGGTATCCAAGCACTTAATCAAGGACAGCAAATTCATGCTCAGTCATGTGTCTCTGGTTATTCAAATGATCTTTCAGTTGGTAATTCACTTGTTAGTCTTTATGCTAGGTGTGGGAAAGTACAAGAAGCATACCTTGCTTTTGATAAAATATATGCTAAAGATAATATATCATGGAACTCATTGATATCCGGTTTTGCACAAAGTTTCCATTTTGAGGAAGCGCTGAATCTATTTTCTCAAATGAATAAAGCTGGACTGGAAATCAATTCATTCACATTCGGCTCTGCAGTTAGTGCTGCTGCGAATGTTGCTAATTTTAAACTAGGGAAGCAGATTCATGCCATGATCATAAAAACTGGCTATGATACAGAAACTGAAATTTCTAATGTTTTGATCACACTATATGCAAAATGCGGTAGCATTCATGATGCTGAAAAGCAATTTTTTGAAATGCCTGAGAAAAATGAGGTTTCTTGGAATGCCATGATTACTGGTTATTCTCAACATGGTCAGGGATTTGAAGCATTAAACCTCTTTGAGGATATGAAGCAGCTTGATGTATTGCCAAACCATGTCACCTTCGTGGGAGTTTTATCAGCATGTAGCCACGTGGGTTTGGTGGATGAGGGGATTAGCTACTTTCAATCAATGAGTGAAGTTCACAGTTTGTTGCCAAAACCTGAACATTATGCATGTGTTGTGGATCTTCTTGGGCGATCTGGTCTTTTAAGCCGAGCAAGGAGATTTATTGAGGAGATGCCAATTCAACCGGATGCAATGGTCTGGAGGACCCTTTTAAGTGCCTGTATCGTTCATAAGAATATTGATATTGGAGAGTTTGCTGCAAGCCATCTTCTGGAACTGGAACCCAAAGATTCAGCGACCTATGTTCTGCTATCAAATATGTATGCAGTGACTGGGAAATGGGGTTGTAGGGATCTAACAAGGCAAATGATGAAAGATAGAGGTGTTAAAAAAGAGCCTGGTCGTAGCTGGATAGAGGTTAATAATTCAGTTCACGCATTTTTTGCTGGTGATCAGAAACATCCTTGTGCAGATACGATATATGAATTTCTCAGAGATCTTAATGAACGGGCAGCTGAAAATGGTTATGTACCACAGTCCAATAGCCTTCTGAGTGATGTAGAACGACGTCAAAAGGATCCAACACAAATTATTCACAGTGAGAAACTGGCAATTGCTTATGGTTTGCTTAGTTTGTCTGGCTCCACTCCTATCCATGTTTTTAAAAATCTTCGTGTTTGTGGTGATTGCCACAATTGGATTAAGTACATTTCTAAGATCTCAGATCGAGCGATCATAGTGAGAGATTCATATCGCTTTCATCATTTTATGGGTGGTATTTGTTCATGTAAAGATTACTGGTAAGAAGGCAGCAGGTTCACTAAAACAAATGCATCCCCCTAATCTTGTGTGACAGACTGAAATTTATGACAAGTGTTGCAGAATTTTTTCATTAGTCACCCTATTCAGTGGTAAGAACTCTAACCTAAAGTGATTGGATAGGTTTTAGGACAGGAAAGTGACTTGATGCTTCTTATGCATTAGTGTTCTTCAATTAGTTTGTACATATAGTATGTTCTGTCCTTTTGTTTAGCTTTACTTCATCTGAATCAGGTTCTTGAGTACTTTAGTAGGCTCTCTGGTTTTGAAAATTCAACATTAAATTAATTATTTTTTTCAGTAATATCATGAAGCCATGTTTCTCTATTCTCCTTTTCAGGTGAACAATAATAACTGAAACATTTCATGAGCTTTCACTGCATGCACTCTTTTTGACGCATCTATTGGTGACATTTGGTTTGACCCACAACACTGATTTGTGAAGTTCTTCCATGGATATCATGGTCATAATTGCGGACCTGATAAATAGACTTTGAGATATACTGAAGATTCTTGGGGATTTTACATGAATCATCTGCCTTTGCTTCCCAAGCCTGCAAGTGTAAGGCGGGCATAGGTTGGTTACCCATCTGCTTTTAATTTCTTTTAATGTGATTAACTGAATATATGAATAATATAGTCATTGAGTAGAAGTGAATCTGACCTTAAAGAATGCATAGAATGGGCTTACTTCGATTTCAGCTGTAGATCATGATTGGCACCCATTTCATTTTAGTAACATTGGTAGCTAGTGGAAACCTGGTTAGAATTTAGAAATGAAGTGTTCCATTTTTCTTTTCTTTTTGGTTATGTGCTTAATCGAGCCTCAACCTGAAGTCCATCGCCATTTTTTTTGCCCATTTCCTATGTGTCAACAATCAACATTTCACTAGGTAGAAAATTCCTGATACTGTATTTGCTGATGATAGGTGACAGCTTCTGTCAAATGCAATTCAAAGGAAGGTAAAAAGTTGTAGAAGAAGCTAAACAGAGGTTGATTGAGGCCCCAAAGGTACTGCCTTCTCTACTAACTATGACAATATGCTTTTTTCATTTTTTTTTCCCTTTCTGTACACACTAAGGACATCCCTCAGCCAATAGCTAGGGACTAATCCCTTTCGAAGCATAAAACAATATCAAATTTGGTTGTGAACCAAACCACCATGCATATCATTTGTGTGTTCCTCATTTGATCATGTTGTTAATGTCCTCATCAAGGCATGAATGGTGAATGGAAACATGATAGCTTCCCAAGAAAGTGTTGCAAATATTAAAATTCCAATCTTTGATTGCACTTAGTAGTTGAAACATGCTACATATTTCAACATATTGATTTATTTTAACTTTTCCATTTTGAATATTTAGAACCTTTATTGTTGTTACTCAGGTCTCAAAGGACTCTGATATACTATACTAGTCATACCTCCAGTTAGCGCTGCGCTAAAATTACTGACAGTTGTCAAGATCCTCTACAGAATGAAAAATTATTGAGTGATCATGAACAAAGTGATTTCAGACCCTCATATTGCACTCTGTATAAATTTTACAGTTTATGAGAAGTTAATGTGTTGCAACATGAGTTGTCAGGATCACAAGTTCTTGACCACCCCCCAAAACTTACTTGAATGAAAATTTATTAGCAGTTGCTCATACCCAAAAGTTACTTGAACAACATGGATTTGTAGTATGTGGTCATCCTATTGAAATGATGTATGTAATTTGTATAACTAATCTTTCCTTGGATTTTGTCCCCATCTTTTGGGCTTGCAATATCCTAGGAGTTGGTTTTCTATCCCCCATATTTTGGATGAAAATACAATTGGGATAATTTTTTATGAGTTTTCAAGTCATTTCTTTTTAATATTTTTAATATATACATCAAAATTCAATTTTTCCCCTCGATCTTTAAGGAGAGAAAACTTAACCTGAGTTTAAATTAACTATATTGCTTAGCAGTGATTTAGTAATGTGATTCACATCATGCATAACATGTCCATTTTTTTAATTTGGAAAAGCAATGCCTCTTTTTTACACCGTAATATCAGCATAAGTCAAGCACAACTACTGATTTAACTGTATGACTTTGAAAACAAAATATTAAAAATGAAAATAAAAAAGTAGAAACGAGACCCAGAGAAAGTAACATTTCCTTACCTTACCAAAGAAAAAGAATGAGAGAGAGAGAAGGTAACATTTTATGCAGCTATAATTGATTTCCGTCAATGATCAAATTATCTTGATTACAACAATATAATTTTAGTGCATTCTTGTCAAATCATATAATAAACATGTTATAACTTTGGCAAATATTAAATTCATTAAAGAATGTAATAATGCACAGTTAAAATGTTTTTATTAAAATTAAAATCTTGCATTTTATTACCATTAATTTAAGTTCAAATTCTCTTTAATTACTTCCTAAAGAGAATACTTATGATCTAAATAAAAAAATTAAATTATATTAATAGTTTATATATATTTCTTACATTATCATCTAATCATAAATCATTATATTATTAAAATTATTAACTTCAAATTTATAATAAATATTTTTAAAGGTCATGTCTGTAACCCAATTTTTAATTTATTAACAATATAAAAAAAATTACGTTGGTATTTTATATAAATTAAACTAAAAGTACTTTTGCATTTTAAATTTTTTAACACATTCATCTTTTATTTAAGTTAAAGAAAATGATTATTTTTATATCTTATTTTGAGGTGTCAAATTGGTGAAAGAAGAAAGAAATGGGAAAAAAAGAAAGTAAAATATATAACAAATGCTATGATAAAAAAGAAGAGATAATAAAAATTAAAAAATAGATGTTAAAACTATATATATAAGAGCACAACTCAATATAAAAAATATGTAACACACAATAATTTTCCCTTATATTCTATTTATTTGTTTGTAGAAAGACACGTCTATTTCAAACTATATATTGAATAACAGACACATTTTTATAATATATTTATTAATAAATGTATCTATCATAGGCATGTTTATTGTTTAATGAAGAAGATATCTCTTATACATAGAAGGCATCTTTGCGGATTGATAAAAGGATAAATCATTGCATAGTAATGTCTATTGATTAGTAAAAGAGTATGTGGCCATTTGTTTAAGTTTTTTTTAATATTTTTTAAAAGTATTTAAAAGTAAATTTATTTTATAATTTTTTATATTTTATTTTATTTTATTTATTTATTTTAATTATAAAATACTTTTATTTTAAAAAGGTAGCTATAATTTCAGTTTTTTATGAGAAAAATAATTTATCAAAATAATCAGAAATTTGATTTTTTTTCATATTCTATTTTTTAAAAACTTAAACAAACATCTTAACAGTTTTTTAAAGTGATTTGTTTAAAAGATTTGCTCTCTTTATCCCTTTTCCTTCCTTTAAAATTTCTTTTATTTTTTCTTAATTCTTTCAAGAACTATTAGGTATTGAGAGATTTAAGAACCTTTTCTAATTGAAACTATAATATCCTTGACTAGTAGTAAACATTGAAGTAGAAGTGAAATTCTACTCTAGACTGTACTTGAATTGACGGAAGATGATGGAGTGGCAGAATAGCATATAACTTTTCCTTTCACCTTTTATATAAAAGATAGAGTAAAATGAATTATAATATTTTTTATTGTTATATTGTCTTATAATACAAACAATTGAACAAGTGACATTAGAACTTTATAAACAGGATTAAAGAAAAAAAAAAATTACAGACTATCGGCATCATAATATTTTAGGTTTCATATAAAGTTATGGCCAAAAATTTGAGACATAAAGAAAATAATTTTTTTTCTTCATTAAACAATAAAACATAGGAAAATTACCTACATAAATAAGACAATTGAATAAAATAATAATAATTTGAAAGTTCTAAATGGAATCAAATTGATTAGAGACTGAATTTATTAAGAAAAGTTGAGAGATTTAGAGACGGTTTGATTTTAACAAATGTTTTCTATTATTATTTTTTATTTTTTATTTTTTATTTTCATTTTATTTCCTGTTCTCTAAGATACAAAGGAAACATTGAAAACATCTTCTTCTTCTTTTGTTTTTACTGTTTTCTATACAAATCTTTAAAAACAGGAAACAAAATAAAAACAAAGTGACAAATTTGTAATTAAAAGTGGAACCAGAAAATGAAATAGAAAACATTTTCACAAACCAATCAGCCCTTAACTCAAATAGTCAAAATTGCACATCATCTAAATTAGAATGATTGAAAATGCAATTAAACATTAAAGTAATTACACTTAAACCATAACATAAAGTATGTAGTAGGCTATGTAAAAATGATTCTCCGAGGTTGTCTAAGAAAAGTAATTACAGATTTTCCATCTAATTTTTTCGTCCCTTATTTCTTCTGTTTGAGACTACAACCCATCCATCATCTGCTTCACCTGCAACCTCTGGCAGAAGCTCATTAACTTGCATGTTCACTGAACTTGTGTTCAATTCAGATGTTGGAATGTCCAGATTCATGTGTGAAGCACTGTTGTCGCTAATAATGTTTTCATCATTATCATCATCTTCATCTGTATCATCTTCATCATCATTCACAATCTAGCACATCATAAAGGACTAACATTATTACTCTTTCAAATTCAAGGGAAGAGGATGATCATCCAAAAATGTTGCCTAGGCTACACATAAACAGGGAAAAATGTGTATACATCAATCAAATAGGCTTAGTAAACATATATAACAAGTTGACAATTACCAACATCATGTCTCATGCCAGGAGAACAACCAAAATGTTCTGTTTTTTTGGGGGGGGGTTGTTAGGACTGCTACAGAGAACCAGAAGGGAAGCAAAATTGTAGGCAAAGAAGACAGACTGGGATTCAGTCGTAGCATCATGCAGTATCTAAAATGTTGGAGCTTGATGAAAATATCATATGGAAATCTTATGTTTTAGCTTTTACTATGATTTTAAGCCAAACATATTTTATAGGTGTGGCTTTGTATTGGTTGTTACAGAATAGGCATGTGTGTGGTAGATTAGCTTAAATCCAAATGAATGATCAATGGAATCTTAATCTAAACAAGTACAAGTGTAAATCTAACTCATCTAATCAATTACAAGGTATTTGGAGTTGATTACATGGTTTAGACTAACACTTAGATTTTGTTCAAATAAAACTGTTTTGTAGAAGTATCGGGTTAATTGATTACACATGCTTTGTAATTATTAAAACGGTATTTTAACAAAACTGTCTATCTGATTTAATAGATTACCATAATTTTGTAATTAATTATACACGTTAAAAATTCATTTGAACAAAATTCATGCTCTCAGAACAATCGATTACAATAACATTTAATCAGTTACATGATATTTTTGGACAATATACAGGCTACATTGAACACTTTAATTGGTTATCAAAGTTTGATAATCAATTAAAATAGGCTTGTTTTGTTAGTTTTAAAAAGCTTATCTCTTCTAACTTAAAATGTACGATTTTCACTTTGCTAAAATTTTTACAAAATACACTTTAAGAGAGAACCAAAGGGTTATTGCTATTCCATAGAATGTGATTGTTCATGAGCAAGATTCAGTGATCATCTTTTACGGAGAAAAATTCAAGGATTTCTGCACAAATAAAGGTGTAATCGATCCTTATCTTTGTTTCATTTTCGATTCATAACTGATATGGAAATGATTTTTCCATAGGTTTGAGAATCATAGTTTTTGATTCTTGGTTAAATTTTTCTTGTAGGGTTCAAGAAAAGTTTAGAATCATAGTGTTTAATTCTAGTTTTGCTTTTCTTGTAGGGTTCAAGAAATGATTAAGAAAATTGCACGTGCATAGTATTTGTAACATACAGTGTTTCTTAGTGAAAAAGATTTGACTAGTGTTGTCAAACTAACACTGGATGTAGGCCGGAGTTGACTGAACCAGTATAAATTCTTGTATATAGTTTTTGTTTAAAGTATGGAATTATTTTAAAACGCATTTGTAATCTGAATACTTTAAGCAATAAGATGTGGCTGTAACATACCTGCATTACACGAGGATCAGCAGCTTGCTTAAGATTGGCTTCCCTGAGAATCTCAACAGACTTAAAATTACCTTCTAAGCATTCTTCATGCATAACCATTAGTTTTTCAGCTACCTACATAATCACAAACATGGAGATGAAAAATAAGCACAATTGGACATTGCAAAGGCAAACACACACAACAACAACAACAACAAAGCCTTATCTCACTAGGTGAGTAAAGGCAAACACGCACACATATAAAAAAGGGTAAATTACATTTACACCTCCTGAAGTTTAACAAAATTCAATTTGATACCCTCCCGTTTTTACATTACTACAACCTCCCCTGACTCATAACTGCATAAGAAATTGAGGAGGGGGTGATTTCTGCAATTGATAAGGGTACGCAGTATAATGCTGAGATAAATTAAGAGAAGTTTGTGTAGGATGAAAAAAATAACGGTTGTCGGGTGAAATTTTGTTAAACAGAAGTGAATTTAATTTGCCCTAAAAATATCAGGTCATGCGAATAGCAAAGAAATATACAGAGTTCAAATCTATTTGACAGAGTCTTATGAAAATTAATATGACCCATCTGGAATGTAATTCTAATTTAAATTTGACTGCATTTAAAACCTTCAACCCTCGCATACCTTATTAGAAATGATATCAGCAGAGTTCAACAATGAATACTTACAAGGCCAACAAATTCAATGAGAAAATATATACCTCTTCAATACTGCCATCCTCAACCTCCACATTGAGAGAAAGCATACCTTGATCGAGTATCTCTTCTAAGTCATCAATATAAAGTGGCTCTGAGCAGAAACAATAAAAAATTAAAATTAAACAAAAAAAAAACTTAAATGAATGTGAGTTTTTTCTTACATTATACCTTTGGATTGAACGAACCATGAAAGTATGTGAGAGGCAAATTGATCAGCTTTGAGACGTGACTGATGCCCACCCCATTCGTTCTCAACAGCCGTTTGAAGAGCTGACCAACGAAACAGAACCAAACCAATTCCTTCACTCAAAACTCTTTTTGACTCTTCTTGTAACCTTCTCGAATTCTCCATTCTTCTCTCTCTACTTTCTGTATTACCAGAACCATAGTTATCAATTTCAGATAGTGGCGCGTGGCAGCCAACACCAAAATACTATAGCAAGATAATGCATAGCGGGATAACCGCTATTTAGAAATTTTATATGTAAATAAAGTAATTTATACTTTATATATAAATGCTAAAAGATTTTTTAAAGAACTCAAAATCCATGACTTAGTCATAATTAAAAATAAGAAGTCATAGTTAGGTATAACATACAAGTAAATAACAATAAAAGTAAAAAAAATTCCCAAAAGTCGTGCTTTTTTAGGGCAAAAATGATTCTTTTTTAAATTCCCAAACGACTCTAGCAGCGCAGCTGCTATTCAAAACCACTCTGCTATTCAAATTTTATAGCAGCCTATGGCTAGAGCGTGACATCTGGTATCAAAGTTAAGTTAATCGTAGCAGGAAGCAGCAGACTTCAGTCTTAGCTATATATGACAACTTTGTGCAACCTGCAATGTCAAAACTGAATGAGTACTACAAGAACTGGGCAATGCTCATGGAGAACTTCTTAAGGTCAAAAGAGTATTGGAATCTTGTAGTGTGGAGCAACTTCAAGAGAAAGGACTGACAGTTGAATGAAGAAAAATAAGTGCAGTGTTTTTCTGAAAAAGGGCTTATTTTTTAAACCTCTATGACTACTAATTGCATGTTTTCTGTCTGTGTTAAATCTGGAATTTCTCAACCTTGTTTTCAGGTTAGTTCAGTGTCACCAGCTCAAGTTTGGCACTCTCACTAAGGTCACTTGAGCTCAGTGGACAGAACTTTATTGGAGTATGATATGGTAAGAGGACTGCCCACTTTTAAGCCACCAACTCAACTTTGTGAACATTTTCTCAAAGGGATTTTCACACCAGTAGCTCGTCTTGGAACTCTCATAACTGTTATTGCACTGGCACCAACAAAAAGATGGAGGATTTTCCAACTAGATATTAAATTAGCCTTTTTGCATGGAGCAATCAATTAAGATGTCTACCTAGAGCAACCACCAGGTTACGTACTTTAGGGGCATGAACATCAAGTATACAAGCTTAAAAAGGCCTTATATGGCCTTAAGCAGGCTCTTGGAGCCTGGTATAACAAGCTGGAGTCTCATCTTACAGCTATTCTGTTTTGTGCGCAATTATTGAGGTAACAGGTCACAGAGAGACTGAATACCACTATGCTGAATTGGCATTAACGGAGAACTAATTCAACTAATTGGCAATAAAACGTATACTACTAAGTGCATAAAATCAAAGAAGCGGTTGCACACAAGTGAAGTTGCATAAAGCTTAGGAAAAACTTCTGAATTTATATACCTACGGGGCAACCCATATAGATCACACTATTTATCTCAATATTCAAGCGAATGGAGGATGATGGTGAGTTTTGCATATGCATACAAGTTAACAAGAAAGTGTTGATATTAAAGAAGCAGTGAGAGAATGTGGCATTAAGTACCGGAAACTGACTCTGAGCTCGATTGCCCTTGTCGATGGGGTGACGGAGAACGGAGACGCAGAGCCCTTGTCGATGGAGTGACGGAGAACGGAGACCCACGTGGTTTTTAAGGTTTTTCTTTTCTTTTCTGTTTATAAAAGTGGAGCTCTGCGTCACCGTATCATACTCCAATAGACAACACTCAAAGAGGAGCTCGATTGCCTTTGTCGATGGGTGATGGAGAGCGAGATATGCAGCGGCGCAAACCACCGAGACGTTTTAAAGTTTTTTCTCTTCCTTTATTCTTTTAAATTTATTTGTTTAATCTACCCTTCAATGGAAATAGGTTGGGCCGTTTACATAACCTTAGCCTTAGTTTATTTAAAGTCTAATCCAACTTAATTTATTTAATTAATATATTTAGTTTAAATTTTTTTTAAAATTAATTAATTAAATAGATTATACTTAAATTTAAAAAAAATTATTAAACTTATTAAAATGATCTATTTAAAATTTATAACATATTAAATAATTTCATATAAAAATTAAATATAATAATATACTAAATTAATTAAATTTTAAAATAATAAAATTATAAATTAAAAACTTTAATCTTTTTTGTTAGAGTGAAAAGATATCTCTACTACTTATTTTTTAAATGAGAGTTTTATTTGTTAGAGTTTTTTTTTCATATCCTATATGTATAACAATAATTTATTATCTTGATTACATCTGATATTATTTTGTCTAATTTCATCCATCATTTTTTTTATAATTTTGCTCATTTATTTATATTATATTATTTTTAATAGTTTATTTATATAAGCCTTATAACTTTTAAAAAATATACATATTTAGATGGTTTAATAGTCTATTTATAAAGAAATTTAATAACCTATTGAATATCTTGATACAAAATAGGTCATTAAAATAGTTAATAAGTCAAATCAGACTTTTAAAAAGAACATATTAGGCTTAATAAAAAATATATAACAGGTATTAAGTTAGGCTTAAGCTTCAAAATTATTAAACAGATTAGGCCTATTTATGCAAAGTTTATTCTAATTTAGCCTATTTTCATCCCTAACTACACTCAATAAGCAAATTTTTATCCTACAAGATTTCAGTATTATCTATTTAAGCATCTCTATTTTTTAAAGTTGAAATTAAGTTTTTTATCTTAAAATTAAAAAAGTAAAAATTAGGCTAAATGTATTCAATTAAAAAATTTAAAGAATATTTTTAAAAACTATAAGCAATTCAAAGTAAATAGATTATAAGAAAAAAAAAGTAAATAGATTAAATATTCAATTAAGTTTTTAAAAAATAAATTTTTTTAATTTAAACATTTATATATAACAGATTCACTTATCTGATTAAATGGTTTAATACAATTATTTATTTATTTATTTATTTATTTATTTATTTCTATAACAAAAAAATTTATTTCAAATTAAGTTTGAAAATTAAAATTCGACTATATGATTTTTTTTATGTTACTTTTTTATGCCATTCTTTTGGAAATATAATTTTAGAAATGCAACAATTTTAAGTCTTTTTGAAGCATTGAATTTATTATTAACATTGATAGGAATGTCAAATTTTGTTATTCTTATTAGAAATAAAGATGAAAATTAGCTTAGAAAAACTTCTGTATTTATTAATATTTATAAAAATATTTATGTTAAAATAGCTTAAAATTTAAATATTAGGTATTTCTTGTATTATTTTTTATGATGAAAATTATTTTACTTTTTTTACATAATAATCTTATTTGTGATATAAAAAAATGACTGAAGAAAAATTTACAAATTATCATTAAATAACCATAGATGAAAATAATACGTTTAAATTTTTTACTTAAATTGAGAGTTTTTTCATATTATAGTTTTAAAAATTGAGTCTCATTTCGTACAAAGATATCACGTGAGTCTTATATGTAAAATTACAATTTTTTTTCTCTGTTTCTTTGTTTTTCTCTAAAAAAAATTACTTTTTTATTTTAAAAAAAAGTTAGAACAATCTTATTTAATTAAAAAAATTAATGAATATTTTTAAAAATTATATACAATTCAATTATATGCATTGTTTGAAATATTTATCTATAATATATTCACTTGTCCAACTAGACAATTTATTACAAATAGTTATTTATTTATTTATTTATTTTTATAACAAGAAAATTTATTTCAAATTGAATTTGAGTAGAACTATTAAATTTTGACTATATGATTTTTTTTTTGTTGTTTTTTCTATGCCATTATTTCATAAACATAATTTAGATATTACTTTTAGAATAAATTTTTTTTAAGTGATTAATACATTTTAAAAAAATAAAAAGAGTAGTATTTAAAACAAAGGAGATAAAAAAGGTAATTACTCTTTTTTTTTCACCTCCAATGCCAAAAATATTGGCTTGTCAATTTTCTATGTGTTGTTGGTTTCTTAGTCTATTTAATAATCAATTAATTAGTAGGGAAAAATGTTAAAACATAGAGTAAAAAATGTGTTGCTTAGATAAATTAAAATATGTCTTACATTCAATGTTGCACTTTCATGTCCAAGGTTTATTCTTCTAATTCTATGCACCAAAAATCTCCTAGGCATTCTCTTCATTTCAATCTTCAGATTATTCTCTTGAAAACTAATATATGAATAATCCTGACAACTAATGCATGAATATTCATCCAAATAATAATAATAATTTTTATTTTTTTCTCTCATATTTTATCTTATCTAAGCAACACATTTTTTTTTTTACTTTACATTCCATCCTCTTATGTTTTTTCCATGTTTGACAATAATTATTTCAATAAAAAAAAATGTATTTTTCAAAAACTGACACAAGAAACTCTTAAAAACAAAGGATTTTTTTTTTAAAAAAAAAACTAAACAGGTATTTAATTCCCAAAATTACTGTACATTTTTAATGCATACAAGTTATTCTTGAAATTTATAGAAGTCATAGCAATTTAAACCCTTTTATTTCTCTATTTGATCACTGCAAAGGGATAAGCTGACAAATTTTAAAAGTTATTATTAACTCATACAAAATTGAATATAAGACAGAATAGTATGTATAAGAGCAAATTAAAAGATTGAATTACTAACTCACTCAATAAATATCACCCTAAAATAATTTTTTTAAAAATTATCTCATTTTGATCTACATCCATCTATCCCGTCCACCTATATAATGCTATTAAGCTCTACTAGATAAAGGAATCACTATTGTCAATGCTACTAAGCTCTACTATATAAAGGAATCACTATTATCACTGAAACATAACGAAACTTTAAATGACACAATAGTTCTTAGTAATACAAAATCACTATATTAACACCTAAAACTTACAAATATTAATCATATTAATCCAAGACAATAGTCCTACAAAAGCACAAATATAACCAATATTTATAATTTCTAAAACCAAGGTAAAATTTTTAACTTTAATTTTCAAGAACGAATTTAAATGTTTACTTTAATAACATTATTGTCATCATTGGTGGAGAATTATGATTTAGAACTACCGATTTGTTCTATATCTTCATTCTTATTTGTTTTTTCCTGATTAAATGAAGTTTGTTACCTTACTTCCTTCCATGGATAGAAAAGTTTGGCACAGAAGAAGGCGGCTAGTTTTGTTTCTTTTTATATTTTTATTTTTATAACGTATGCAAATTACCTCAATGGAATGTATATAACCCCTTTACTTATAAAGTAGTTTGTAACCAATTCAAAAAGAAACGCACAAAATTGACTGCGGAAGAACCTCACTATTGTCAATTGGCTAGTTTTGAATATCACAAGACATCTGAAGGTATTTTAACCCAAAGATAATAAAAAATCTAATAAAATGTTAGTTTTCTAAATTATCAAATCCTTGAATAACAATCATAAAATTCATAAATTATTACAATTATCATAATTCATTTTGCATCTAATAATGGATGAAGAATCAAAACGCTCCCTTGACGAACAAAAAGCCCAAGCATTCCCAGGTCTAAAGTCAATATCCACAGCAGAGAATCATCAACACAGTTCTTCAGCAAATATTATATCAAATGCAAATTGAACTGCACCCAAAAGTCATATAGCAGGATTTGACATTAATATACGAGTTTAATTTTGTGCAATGGTCGGTGCAAAAACTTTTGAATTATATCCAATCATGCGTTGCCAAAGAGTCATAGATTAGAGAATATAAGAGACAACACATCTTAAAATTGTTCAATTGATATGCATTTCCTTGCCTCCCCTTTCCCACACCCCCCAAATTGTGTGCAATGCACCAGAAACCGAGAACACTACAACTGCAATTTAATAAATTGTCCATTTTGCTCCATCTTTTTATTTTTATCTTTTTCATCTTTACTTTCCTAAATATAGGGGTAGCACCAGACTAATAGGCTTTTAGCTTATTAATTTTTTAAAGAAAGAACATAAAAAAATTAGGTAGTTATAGTATTTCAAACTGTTAGAAATCGGAACCAGAGAAGCTAAGAGAGAGTGAGACTGAAGTCATTCAAAACTGAAATGTAAGATACAGTAATGTGTCTTATATACAGAGAGGCCTATCTACTATTCTGTTACAACACAAAAGCTAAAGTAAACTGATTTTGTGCTAATAGTAAACTGATTCTGTTATAGATATAACAGGCCTACATTTTGACTTTGGTTTTAGTTCCCTTAAGCTATTTTGTAAGTTTTAATCCCTAATTTTTCTAAATTGGCCCCTAATAACCACTAAATGATGATATGATTTAAGAAGAGACTATCATATGTCGATGACTATGTGTCACCACATTAGTGAGAGGGATCAAAACCCCTAAGTTACACAAATATAGGGACCAAAACCATAACAAATTAGAGGGCCAAAAATGAAAAACTGTTGAAAATGTAGGAACTGAAATCATATTTAAGCTTGAAAGAAATGTATCTACTGTGCTACATAGGAACAGACAAGGTAAACCAACTTTATTGGATGATTGGATCACTCTGGTGAAAGATGACACAACCTTCACTAGCCTAAGCTACAAACATGAATTGTCATAAGCTACAAACCTGCACTCTGGATTTTTTTATTCATCATCACCATTCTGCAATTCTTGTCTCCTCGAACAATAAAGAAGGCTTCAGAAGTGAGAGAAGTTTTTCTTTCCCCAGTATTTGTGCCCATATATGGTCATACTTTGGATTAAGTCGATAGAAACTTGAAAAGTTGGGAATTCTCAATGAAGTCAGCATATGCAGTGGCATCTTCACTATTCTTCAACGTCAAACTGTGATATTGACCCAAGTCCACCCATTAGCCATATAGGCTTTCATAACAATCTGTTACCAAAAGAACTCCTTGTTTGACACTAAAGATTTTATTTTCCAACTCATAATGAGTAGAGATGTCCTTCTTCAAGGAATAGGTTTGACAGAGATTATCCCAAATCTATAGGTAGTAGAGAAAAACATGTAATTCGGATTAATTTCCAGAATCAAAGTGCCCCATAACCAAGTCATAATTAGAGAATCCTCATTTCCCATACCTCAAAGTCTTCATCGCCCTTGATTGGAGCTTTGCCTTCAATATGGTTCAGTCTTTTTTGACCTTCAATTGAGCCCACCGTAAATAATTCTGACCATTGAGCCAGTTAGCAGAGAGAATTGTTGGAAGGTCATGACTCATGAGCCCTCAAAGGAATTAGTTTAGTGACTTTGGGTTGTGTGGTGGTCTTGGGTCCTTCTTCAGCCATCACAGCAATAAAACCCAATTTGTAAAAGTACCATCGTGAATGGAGGTTAGGAATGTGGCGCATGAGCTTCACACGCTAGTAGTTGTAACAGTGCATCTGGTGCGTGGTGAGGTTTCCAGCGACGCCACTTTAGGGTATGGCCGATCTCAATGGTACAATTCTGATGGTAGTTTTTCCGGTCTGATCAAAGCAATCTCTGATAGTAGGCCTCACAGTGATGGATGATGGATGGTGTATAGGAACTAAAATATAATTGGTACAATTAAGGTACCAAGCACTGGGTTGCTGCACTCAAGGGAACCTAGGGTTCAAGTGTTGTAATGAAGACAACTACAGGGTTTATGCACGCAAAAGCAGAGCTCCAAAGGATCAGGAGTTCTAATACCAACTTAAAAGTAAGAGATTGAATATTATTTTGTGTATATTGTATTTGACCCAAGGTCTGAATTTATACAAGTGAACAAAGATCTATAAACGGAATCCCAATATTACAATCTTAATTACCGTATTCACGCAATCCCAATATTATGTTCCTAATTACTATATTTACACATCGACGTTCCTAGTTAACATATTTACATGTCAATAGAACAAAAGATAATCTTGCACCAAATCAGGAAATATTCTCTCAACAAATTTTAACCTGGGATAAATTCAAGAAGGCTTTAACGATTTGGTTTGGAGGAATATTGTTTGAGAACCCCTAATAAGAGTTATCTGAATTGAAGCAAGGAGGAAGTGTTGAAGAGTATATTGAAGCATTTGAATTCCTTTCTGCACAAGTAGATAAACTACCAGAGGAGCAGTACTTGGGGTACTTTATGAATGAGTGGGCTACAAATGGAGATAAGCACATAGTTCAAACTTCGAGGCCAAAGTCTAGGTAGCAGCTATGCAGTTAGCAAGAGATTCGTAGGCAGAAAGGACAGAACTGTCAATGGGAGCAAATACACGGTGATCCAAATCAGGATTCTCAAGTGGTGCTAGCAGGTTCTCAAAATTAGGCAGTGGGATGCGTGGATGGGAAGCTAGTCTTCTAACTGCCTACTCCGATAACTACACATTACATTCTGAATATAAAACTGCCACCTCCAGTATTAAAGCAACAGCGTGAACATGCATATACAATTTTTTTATGGCCAATTACCAAATATCACTTTTGCCACAAAAATAATTCTAGCATACCTTCCTCAGTCTGGAGATTGGGTTGATCAACCAGGAGTTGCTGAAGCGCACCAAGATCCTTAGCACTGAAATGCAATTAATGTAAAGTGAGCCATACAACACAAAATAAAACATTAGGCACCGTAAACAGAAAAATTGGCATCGTTAAATGAAAAACAAGTATCATGAATAAAGTAAATGACAAATCTTGCTATCTCTATGCATATAGAAATGAATGCAAATGCAATTGAGTACACAGGTCACCAGTCTGCACCTTTGCCTTGTTTTCGTTTTCTTTTTCTTCATCCCTTTGTGTTTATTTTTGACTCAATTCTTTCCAAAGATCAGAAAACCAGAGTGCTTTCAGAACAGGTGGACAAAGTTCTGATGGCACTCTATTTGCAAATCAAGTAGTGAAAGATGACAAAAATACATGAAATGTCACTAGGCTTTTGAGTTGGGTACCTTTGGCAAGAATTTGATAGAAAGGGCTTTGATGCGAGATGTAGAAGGTGGATTTCCTTCTACATTTTATGTGATTATGAATAATAGCAAAAGTAGAGGACCAGTTGGTTTGAATAGAGAGAACAAAGTTCTTTTACATGCCTTTGTGGCTGCTTCTCAAAGTTATAACAGCCTCTCATTTACTTTCACACACATATATATATAGTGAAAGGAAGGAATCACACACGCATGTGGTGTGCACATGCACAAGTGCAAACACATTGTCACAGGAAAGAACCATATAAAGGGTAAGTGTCCATATACATGTACACAATTATGACTTTAGAATGGTTAGCCTATAGCATTGGCATCATCATACCTGGGCTTTAAGACCATTGCTGATATTGCTGAGACCACTGATGATTTTAACAAATACCTATTTCAAAAGAAAAGAACTAGTAACTTAGTTTCTAAAAACTGAAATTCAATGAAAATGACATTATCAGAAGTAAAACCAATGAAGAAAGCACCTCTGCACAAAGCTTCTAAAGCAGAAAGTTAATTTTTCAATATCAATACTCATTTTTTAGTTTAGCAGTAGTTTCTTGATGATAAACAATCATGACTTTTCAAACCAAAAACTGAAAACAGAAGAGTGATTGTATTTTCTTAGTTTTCCAAAACTTCTGGCCCAGTAATGAAACTGATGGAAACCATTAAGGGGAGGAAGCTAAGTGATTGCACCAAATGATGTGTTTCACAGAATGTGAGAATGCACCCCTACTGGCAACTCCATTAACAGAATTTTATCCTCATGATAAAATCTCCAATCCTCCAACCATGAAAGACAGATAATATATTTGGTTTTGAGGAAAGGGTAAAAAATGTTAACATACAGCCCTTTACATTGCATCATTGGGCAAGGTATCAGAAGGAAAGAGATGGGACAAGAGAAGCAGTGAGTGAAGCATATTGTAAGGCTTTTGAAGGATTCTATAAACATCTTGGGACAAAGTATGGTGAAAGGAGAGGATTTATAAACTTGCCAAAAGTAGAGAAAGAAAATCTAAGGATTTGGATCAAGTTAGATGAATTAAGAATGAAAAAGGAGAAGTTTTTATTTTGAATCAAGATATCAAAGGCAAATGGGAAAAGTATTTCTATAAACTTTTTAATGAGACAAGGAGCAAATGAAAAATTTAGCAAGATTTGAAAGGCAAGCGAATCATCTAACTTTGACATAGAAGTAAAAGCTCTTAAGAAAATGGAAAATAGTAAAGCAGTTAGTCCCGATAATATTTTTATAGTACTTTGGAAGTAAAAGAAGCTCTTAAGAAAATGGAAAATAATAAAGCAGTTAGCCCCGATAATATTCTTATAGAAATTTGGAAAAGTTGGAGAAAACAATGACTAGAGTAATTCACTAAGCTCTTTAATGAAATTTAGAGATTTAAAAATATGTCAGATGAATGAAGGAAGAGCACTTTGGTTCTATATACAAGAATAAAGATGATATCCAAAATTGTGTAAATTATAAAAAGATTAAATTCATGAGTCACATTATGAAGTTGTGGAAAAATGTGATTAAACATAAAATATGGGAGAAAATTGAGATTATAGAAAAACAATTTGGTTTTCTACCAAGAAGGTCTACAACAAAATCTATATATCTTTCACGAAAGATTATAGAAAAATATCATTATAAAGAAAAGGACCTACACATGATTTTTATTGACTTGAAAAAACATATAATCGAGTACCAAGATAAGTGCAATGGAAAGCTTTCAAAAAGAAACAGGTCCATGTAGCATATATTCGAGCTATACAAGATATGTATGAGGGAGTAACTACATATGTGAAAACCTTTGGAGACGTATCTAAAGACTTTCCAATTGGAATAATCTTACATCAAGGCTCCACTTTGAACCTTTAATTGGTTAATCTAATTTTAGATGTACTTACAAATGACATACAAAATATTATCTCTCAATGCATGCTTTTTACATATGACATAATGTTGGTTGATGATTCGAAAGAAAAAGTTAATGTTAAACTTGAATTACAGAAGAAGACTTTAGAATCTAAAAGTTTTCATATGAGTAGAAGACAAAGTATATGCTTTGTAGGTTTAACAAAAAAAAACAAGATGAAGATTATGCTTTAAAAATTAAAATTGAAATGATATCATACTACAAGTTTTCAGTTTTATGTATTTGGAATCGATTATACACAATGATGAGGAAATTAATAAAGATAGTACTCATAAGTGAAAAATGATATCAGAAGTTATTCATAACCATAAGGTATTTATCAAGTCAAAAGAAAAGTTTTACTGTACTACAATATCAACTAGCCTACATGATAGTAAATGTTGAACTTTAAAGAAATAATACAAGAAAAAAATGAGTAGGAGAAATGAAAATACTAACGTAGATGAGTGGAGACACAAGAAAGGACAAGATACAAAATGATAATATATAAGAGAATATTGGAGTAGCACCTATGATGAAAAAGATTATTAAAATCATCTACAGTGGTTTATTCATGTACAGAAAAGACTTTTAGAGGTACAAATAAGAAGAGGGGATTGCATGACTTGTAGTCCAATAAAAAGAGATCATAAGTGACCAAAAAGAACCTGAGACGAAGTAATTAAATGAGACATTTTGATTAAATAGATATTTGAAAATTTAACTTTTGACCGAGCTTAATAGCGTCATGTGATCTATGTAACCGACCTCATCTAGTGAGATAAAACTTGATTGTCGTTGTTGTTGTATGGCGTGTTGATGTTGGGTCAGTCAAAATTTACCGTTGACACAAATGAAATAGCTCTACCAACTGAGATATTTGTCCAGAGTGCAGTTTATGAAACTCTAATGCATTTGGTTGAGTACTGAATCAATACTCACACTTTTAAGTGGACCTTTGCACATGCATTTGTTATGGAATAGTATAATGTTTGTTGCTGCTCTTTGATGTTCTAGTTCTACTCATAGCTGTTAGGGAGTTGCCATTTTTTACATGCAGAGATTTGCCATAGTTGTCTATTTCGGAGGATATCTTATCCTCCCATAGTTGTCCTTTCCATCTTTTACCTCCTATAAAATTTCTTTTTCTGTCATAAAAAAAGTAATAACAGAAATGACATTATTATTCTTGTGGGATAATTATAATGGAAAATATTACAAGGTTGTTTCTCTACCAGATGATCAATTTTGGGTTATCCTTTAGCACTTCTTATAATATGCTTCAGCTTGTGGACCTGTTACAAAAAAGAAATGTCACAGGTAGGTCCACAGCTCTAATGCAAGGATACTTCAAAATTGATGACAAATTCATATCATACCCTTACCGGAATCCTACAAAATCAACAAAATTTTAAAATTGATAACATATATGTATTATACCCAATACTGTACAGTCTTGTACCCATACAACATGGGTCCACAGCTATCCAAAAAGTACAAATTAACGCTCTGGAGCACCACTTTTCTTTTCAGATAAAACCTCATGTTACCCATTGTTTTCTACATCTGTTCCTTCAACCAATTTATGCCATCAGCCTACCAACCGGTTGGTATACTGCTATTGAACTCTTTATAGATCACAAGTCTTTCTAACTAAAATAGAGCTAACTTAAATGGTAGATACCTTGAGTTTTTTTTTTTCTCCTTTTTCTTTTTCTTCTTTTGAAACAAGGCCATCTTAAGATGCTCCATGTATATACACAAATCTCTACTTTGGTTTGCTCTTCAAGGGGAGTTGAAGTGGAGGAAATACTATGTGAAAAAGCAAGCATCTAAGTCCATATGAAATTTAAATAAAATGTAACTCAAATGTTACCAAGTTCAATAAACTTCTTGCCAATCATCCTAGTTCTTGTATCATATCAATTGATGTTTTAAAAATGAAGTTTGTGTTATTACAATTCTGAATTATGTAAAAGCACAACAGAATAGACATCATGAGAAAGTCCTAAAGCTATTCCTTACTCAGAGTTGTATATCTCATGCAAAAACATCAGGCCATCCAAGCAATCAATAAGCCTAGGTTTGATGCCCACTTGCTGCTGTAGTTGTTTCATGGTCAGGCGAGAAGAACCGCCTTTCACTAATTGTCTACCATCACGGTGAATTTTCTCAAGAGATAAGACAATACAATGAAATTCTTCCCTGAAAGTTCAAACTCAAATCTAAACAAATAAGCATGAATCAAACAAATGATCACCCTAAAGATCATCAAGGTTCATAAGCTTGATTATAAAAGCTGAACAAAGAAACACTTCATTTCAGATTTTCATTAAGAACAAATCACGAAGGATAAAACCATGGTAAGTGAAAAACTAACAGAAAATTACAACAACTCAATGTTATATATTACCATTTGATCAATATCATGAAAAAAATTGTACCATTTTCAATTGATATAACCTCTATGATTTGCTCATATTAATATGTAACTTACAGCCATAAGACAAAATTTTAAGGCTTAACTTGAAAGTATCAACCCCTTTCAACAGTTGCTAATAAAGTACACTAAGAAGCTGATTTTGAAAGTTGTTCTCAAGGCAATGTTTGGTAAAAACTCTTGAAAATCTGCTCTACAAGTGGTTCTAAATTTAGTACACATTAATAACTCTTCCAATACTGGAAAAACCAAACAAAACATTTACATCATAATTTTGTGAAATCAATTTGGGCATTTTACACAAAGGGTTCAAACTAGCAAGATAACAACACATTAATCTGAAACTTAAAATGCCTATCAATAATATTATATATGACTTTAGGTCCCTAGTCAGTACATTTTTGCCCAGAAAAATCAGGTAATAATGAATTTATTTAGTGCTTCAACAATCCCCAAGTTTAAAAGAATGGAGACTAGAATCATATAGAAACTTACAAAGTCCTTCTCATAGAAACCAAAATGTTGTTTAACGATTCAATCTGCTTAACTGTAAGAGCATCACTCATGCCGCTAACACAATTTAGAATACCATAATTGTTGGAATTTTGAAGCACCTGCTTACAATCACAATTCACACCAGTTACTTCAAGCCCCCAAGTGATTTCAGAACTACAACATTGTCAATATCAAGGTCAGAGCAGTTATAGGTTAAAAAGTCCATACAGAGACAGTAAGAGTAGTAATCAAATTACCTGCAACCTATCAACAATATGGGAAGCATTCGTAAACTGTGAAATCAAGCAAGATTGAAGCTCTTCCCAATGATTTAATTCTTCCCTAACCTTTCTGAATTTTGACTGAAATTTTTTCACTATTGATTCCATTGTCAGCACTGATACAACCAGTCACAAGCCAGCAACAAGCCTCAGCTCTTTCACAGAAGAAAAAGTAATTATCAAAAACAGTTCCAAGCATGTTACTCAGGCAAAGTGTGAATGGGTACCTTTTTCTTGTGTTCTGTTTAGTTGTTTCTTTGTTTTTAATAGTCAATTTTCTGCATAGTGAGTTAAATACAGTTTTTTCCCCCTTATTTTTTCTGTTTGGTGTGTTACTGTTTCTGGTCTGTATCACACTTCTATTTATTTTCTTTTATTTAGGCAACAAAATTTACAGAGCAGGGCACAATAAGGAAAAATTTTAGAAACTTTGTATCTTAATTAGAAAGAACGGGGAAAGAACTCTATAATTCACAGAACATATTAAAAACACTGCAGAACTTTGAAGGTCTGCACCTCCCTATGCCAAAAGGCCTTAATTTCCTCTCACAAATCACATGATATTCCTCTCTAATCTACTCTCTTATTTACAGGCAACATACCTCATTCAAACTAACTCACCGAACTAACCAACTCACTAATGTAACTAACTAATGGGTAGCTAAGTAACTTATTTTAACTAACTACATAAAACTTCACACAATAAGTAACTAAATCAGAAAAGAGCAAACAAATAGCTTAATACAGATTATAATATGGTGAGAGTTCTGCAGGAGATCAGGGGAACTTTACCTCCCTACAGTTCCCTAGGACAGGACACTATTTCTTGGGCTTATACTACCACTGGTGAGTTTTCAACCAAGTCTGCCTATCATATGGTGGTTAATAATACCTTTGCTCAACAACACGCCTTGTGGAAGCTTATTTGGTCTTGGAATGAACCATATTGCATTAGGTGTTGTTGTGATTACCATAATTAAGACAGAATATGATTACAGTATGGTTCACACACAAATTGGCAGACCAATTTAAAGGCTGCATTAAGATAATGGAAAGGAGTCTGTGAACCAAAGTTTCTCCAACTTTCTAACGATTCTCCACAACAAAATGGAATCCCAAAAAGGAAAAACTGTAACCTCCTTGAAGTAGCTAGAATATTGCTATTCCAAATGTCTGTCTCAAAGTCCTATTGGGGAGAGGTTGTCTTGACTGCGGCCTACTTGATAAACATGGATGAGAGATTATGTCACTGGTGATGATTTAACAGAAGATGATGCTATGAATTTTGCCATGTTTACAGGTGCAGATCTAGTAACATATAATCAAGCATCAAAAAGTCAGCATTGGAGGGGTGCAATGGATGTTGAAATTCAAGCTATTCAAAGAAATGACACATGGAAGCTGGTTGATCCACCACCAAATTGCAAAGTCATAGGTGTTAAGTGGATTTTCAAGACTAAATTAAAGGAAACTGGAGGGATTGACAAATTCAAGGCTAGACTTGTAGCAAAAGGCTACATCCAAGAGGAAGGAATAGATTATGGAGAGATTTTTGCACCAGTAGCTCGTCTTAAAACTGTCAGAACTATTATTGCATTGGCAGCAACAAAAAGACGGAGTATTTTCCAACTAGATATTAAATTAGCCTTTTAGCATGGAGCTATCAATTAAGATGTCTACCTAGAGCAGCTACCAGGTTATGTACTTTAGGGGCATGAACATCAAGTATACAAGCAGGAGACGTTACAGCTATTCTATTCTGTGTGCAATTATTGAGGTAACAGGTCACAGAGAGAGTGAATACCACTATGCTGAATTGGCATTAACGGAGAACTAATTCCAACTAATTGGCAATAAAACGTATACTACTAAGTGCATAAAATCAAAGAAGCGGTTGCACACAAGTGAAGTTGCATAAAGCTTAGGAAAAACTTCTGAATTTATATACCTACGGGGCAACCCATATAGATCACACTATTTATCTCAATATTCAAGCGAATGGAGGATGATGGTGAGTTTTGCATATGCATACAAGTTAACAAGAAAGTGTTGATATTAAAGAAGCAGTGAGAGAATGTGGCATTAAGTACCGGAAACTGACTCTGAGCTCGATTGCCCTTGTCGATGGGGTGACGGAGAACGGAGACGCAGAGCCCTTGTCGATGGAGTGACGGAGAACAGAGACGCAAAGCAGCGGAGATCCTTTCTTTTTCTTTTAACAGCCACGGCCCACGGGGTTTTTAAGGGTTCTTTTCTTTTCTTTTCTTTTTTCTTTTTTCAATTCATCTATTTAAACAATACCCAAAATTTTAAATTTTAGTACTTTCTGTTTACACTTAAGACTTTTTAGTTTTTACTTTTTAAAAAATATATTTCAAAAAAATTTAAAAAAATAAAAATAAAATTTATGTTAACAAATAATTTATTTTTTATTTTTATTTTTAAAAAGAAAAAACTATTTTTAAAAATAAACATATTCTTAGTATTTCTATTTTTTAATGTTCAAATTAAGTTTTTAAATTTGACCGAAAATTCTGAATTTACTTGTATTTTAAATTTAAAATAATATATAAATTTCAAGCAAGAAACTCTTAGAGTTTGAACATATTATTTTAGAAAATATTTAGTTTTTCTAAAAATTATGTTGGAAAGCTAATAAAGAGACATTTTAAATTAAATTAATTATTAATTTTTGTTCCAAAATTTGGGTTTGATTCACCCTATTTAGTAAATTAGAATAATCTCATGTATAATCATAATCAATGCATTTAGTAGTTTGTTGTTTTAAAATTAATTATTGATTTTTTTACCTAATAATTCATTGATTAATAAATACCTAAAAATGACAAACGTACGACCCCAAAAAAAAAATACAAGCTATGTTTTTGGCATTGGACTAATACTAAATAGAAAGAAAAAAATAATTACTTTTTTTATCTATTTTTTAAATATCACTCTTTCTATATTTATAAGCAAAATTTTAAAATATATTACTCACTTTTAAAATTTTAGTTGTAAAAATAATTTCTAAAATTATGTTTTCAGAAAGATAGTGTCAAAAAGTAACAAAAAATCATATTAGTAAAAATTTAACAGTCCTATTCAAGCTCAATTAAGAAGGAATTTTTTTATTAAAAAATATATGAATGAAGTACAATACCATTAAATTTGTCAAGACTGTCTAATTTAATAATTCGGTAAATATTTCAAATAACACATAAATATTTAAGATAAAGAAAATTTTTTATTTTCACAATAAAGAAACTTAATAACTACTTTGGGATGAAACTTATATAAGTTTTTAGCAAAATATACTATGAGAATTTTCTCAAAAAAAGTATTTCAATGGATTCTTACATCCTCTCATTTTGAAAATAAGGATTTTAACAAATGTAGTTAATTGTCAACCATTAATCTAAGTTCATGATAAATAAATTGTTAGTATTTAATGATTTTTAGGTAAATATTTTAACTAATAACAAATTAATAAAGGGTAAATCAATAAACTATTTTTCCTCTTCATCTCTTTCCTTCTAACTTCTCTTGAACTCTTTCTTCTCTCCTTCTAACTTACATTATCAACTAATTTATTATCAAAATAAGCAAAGTCAGTGGATTTGATCCATTCCAACCTCATAAAAGTATTTGTCGTTATCTTCAAAATTTTATTTGAGTTGAGTAAAATTCAGATTTATTAATATTGTTGATGGTGAGTTGACTCAAATTAAGTAACCGATTAATCAGCATAATAAAATATTCATATAAAAAAATATTACTTTTTACATCAATTTTCTGAAGTACTAGTGTAGAAAGTAGTGAAAATTTTGTAATATTGTTGTCTTTAACGTTTTAAACTTTAAAACAAATTAACTTTTAATATAAAACTTCAATTTATACAAGTTATATGTCTATCTTATATAATTTTTTGAAGAGAGTAGACAAATTTTTTTTTCAAAATTCTAATCTTTTTAGTGTTTTTTATTATTTATTTTTTTTATGGAAAAAGTTATGCTATTTGCAAATTTTTTATGCTTTGAATCATAATTATAGCCACAAAATAAAATGAAAAGTGAGAATGCTCAACTGTGTAAAGAATAAAAAAGAAAGAGAAAGCGAAATATATACATTAGATTACTAATATGTCATTCAATAAATTTAACTTTTATCATTATTTTTTTATCTTACATTTTTAATTATGTGACCTTAATCGGGTGATTCCATCATCCTCTCATAAACTTTTAAAAGTAATAAGAGCTTAAGGGTAAAAATGTAAAGTTGCATATCAAATTCTCATTACACTTAAGTAGATTATTTGCATGTTCTTACTCCCAACTAAAACATGTCTTTATCACCTCCACCCTTCATCGGCACAAAACTTAAGAGAGAAAATGTCTTCTTTGACAACAAGGCCCACTGTAGCAACCTCCCGGTGAACCTTGTACTGAGATTCACCCTGCTTTATCTTCCCCTCGCCCTTGTGGTAGTATTAAGGGTCATGTTTATCAACTCGAGGAACGCTTCCATAAAAAAATTCCTCTTCTTCTTGTTCATCTTCTCCTCTAACAAAAACCTAAATACCCACAACTTAAAAATAGAACTTTCTTCAAACTTAGATTCCAAAAATCCTTTAGATTAAAGAAAAATAAAATATTGATGACATTGCAAGAGAAATTAAAGTCAAGATAAAAAAAAATATAGAATTTTTTAATATAAAAATACACAAAAATTGGTGGAAGTAATGAATCTTTTATGAAGGTGTTGAAGTGATTAGTGAAAGCGAAGCTTCAAAAAAATTGATTGAGATCAACTAAGAGCAATTTCTTGTTTCTTTAGACAAGAATGGTTAATAATGCACATGAGTAGATTAAGCAAGACATTTGTTTTGATTTTCATTTATTTTAATTTATCTTTAGTCTTATGATAACAGAGTGGTGGGAAATTTTCACCAAGAAGATTGAGAAAAAAAAAATGAAAAAACAAATGCAAGAGTGAAGCGACAGAAAAGATGAAATAGAATAAGAAAATTATAAAGCTATTCTTTTATATTATTGTTTTATCAAGAGTATTATTAACCATTAGATTACATAGCTTTTCAATCAAACGGTTCACAATTCATTATAATATTATTTAACTTTTTAAAAAAAATAATTTTTCTTTATGAAAATTTATGGGAAAACTAGAATCACCTCTATAGAATCATCTAATAATGTACTTCACGCTTATTTTTTCAATTTAACCTTAATTTTTTGCTTCTCTTATTTTCAGAAGATAAAAGCAGAAAATGTTTCATGAAACCAAAAACTCTAAAATTTTCAAGTGAATATCCAGTTACATGAACAACCAATTTATCAAAAGCAAAAAAATATGTTAATGTATAATTATAAAACTATAATATATTATTAAAATTTCTTAAATCATACAATACTTTATACTTTATATTTTGGTTACAACTTGAGAAAGAAGAATCAATCTATACTCAATCAAAGATAACATTAAAAAATTTAAAAGATTAAATAACTTTTATTATATTATTGTAAAAATACTTTTAAATTTTTTTTATAATTTACAAAATAAAATGATGACCAATATTTTCATGTTTTATCAAAATATTTAATTATGTTATCATATATTATTCTTTATCATTATTATATATATATATTATTACCTTAATATAGATTTTATTATTAATATAATATTTTTAATGATACATAAAAGTAATTTTTTTTAAAATTTTGCTTAATTCTTAATTAACTTTTTTTAACTATCTAACATTTTAATTATGATAAAAATTTAATTTTTAAATAAAATATAATTAATTATAATTTATATTTGATAATTTTGTCACAACATTTTATTTATTATTAAACATTATAATAATGACTATAAATACTATTAAGAGTAATTAATTATAATAACTGAAATTATTTAAATATAATAATAAAATAATAATATATATAAAAATATAAAAATATTATTTATTATTAAAATTTTATAATAATATTTTATTTGCATATTTAATATTTTTATGTCATAATAAATAAATAAATAAATAAATTATAACATTTAAAATATATATTAAATTTAACTGTTATATTTATTTTATATAGTAATTTATTTTAAAAATAGTCAAAATAATTTTACTTTTTAAATTTTTTACCTTAAAAATAATTATTTGATAAATAATTAATTTTGTATATTTAAATTTTAATATTTAAACTAAATTAACTAATAAAAATATAAATATATTTATGCAAATCCGTGTAATTTACATATTTAATAATTATATAGTATTAAAAACACGAATTAGTATTATTTTTAAGTTTTTTAATTATCAAATTTTTCATTTTAATAATTATAAATGAGTTATCCTATCCAATAAAAAAAAATTGCATGTACGAATCTTTCACAATGACCTGTTGACGGAAATCACTTATAGTATTTATTTGACAATTTTCTTATATTTTCATTTCATACCAATTTATCATTTCTTTATGAATATAAGTTCTTATTAGGCGTCGTTTATACAGTTTAAACAAAGGAAAAGAAAAACCTTAAAAACGACGTGGTTTTAGTGGCGCGGCGAAAGAAGATGGAAGGGGACAGAGTGAAATAAATGAAAAACCCTTTATTCATTCTCTGAACGCGAAGCGTTGAAGAAGTTTGTCTTTGCACTTCGCATAAGAAGGTATATTGACGCAATCGGAGGTGAGAGTGAGACATTGGAAACTCTACTATTGATGTTCCCTTCTGCTTCATTCCTCTTATCTGTGTTCTTCAATCACAGCCCCATCAAAGTCTTCATTTTGTGATTTGTGAGGAAGATCGAGTGAAGAAACAGAGGCAAAAATGAAGATGGTAACGGCTTTTAATGGCAATATGAAGGTAATTAAGTTTATACAAGTATGCATGCCAAGTGTTTGTGAAAATGGTTTGCTAAGAAAGTTTTTTATAGGCTGAATCTGCCTCGTATTTTCAATTCGATTTTCAAAGTTGTTTTTTTCTCTTCTCAGAAAGCTGCTGCTGGACTTAGACGCATTAATCTTGATGGTCTCCGATGGCGTGTTTTCGATGCCAATGGCCAGGTGAGTGTGCAGTTGTTGCCTGTTCCTTCTCTTTAATAACTAACCTTAGAGTGATTATGTGCCCTTTCGCATTTTGGTTCTGATGTCATGTTAGAGCAGTTTTCCTAGAGTCTATGATTAAAGAGGAAGTTACTATTGAAGTCGAAACACGTATTATAGTATCATTTTGGGTATGTTTGAATTGATGGGGATGGATGGAATGGAATGACATCCATTGTTTGAATTGTTAAAATAGGATATACTTGTGTTATTTCCCCAAGGTGTGGGATGTCATTGGATGTGACCAATTTATCGTTCATTCTTCTCATCATTCTGTTCACTTTCCAAACAATGGGTATTTATTGTATTCCATCATAAATTATTCAATTGTATATGGTAGGTTTTTTCTTTTTCATTCCACATTACTCTATCCCATTCTACCCATCATTAAATATCCAAACATAGGCTTTTGTGATTGGTTATGTGTATTTTCTGGCATTTGCACGTTAAAAGGAAAATGTGAGTATGCTAATTAAACGCTTTGCAAACATTCAGCTTATTGGCTTGCGTATTATGTATGTCTAGAATAGAAAGTCAAGTCCTGTGTGGAGTTATCATCAGAACAAGGCAAGCCAATTTCATTGAAGTTTCACTTGATAATCATTTGGAATGAATATAGATATTTTGCAATATCAAGTTAAAAAGTCAGCTCTGAAGGGATCATTATATTCTGTCTTAATTATCATTAGTAATTATTGCTGTCAGGAGGTATAGCCATGACTGCAGAGCAATTTTAAAACATTATTGGGTGAATTAGTTAAGGGCTAATTGAGATTGTACTGATGGTTGTCCAAGTTTCTATCTTCTTGTTAGCAATTTGCTTTTCTGAAGTCATGAGATCATTTTGCTAATACATATTGTGTAGGTCCTTGGGAGGTTAGCATCTCAAATTGCTACTGTAGTTCAAGGAAAGGATAAGCCAACTTATACACCTAATCGTGATGATGGAGATATGTGCATTGTGCTTAATGCAAAGGATGTTTGTGTGACTGGGAGAAAACTTACAGACAAGGTCTACTACTGGCATACAGGGCAAGTGCTTTGCATTTGTACTACTCATTAGAAGTGATGAAATATTACTTAGTAGTTTTGGTCTTCTTGTCAATTAGTTAATCAAACAGTTTTATTCTGATTTAGATGCCTATCTTCTAATAAATTCTGCCACCAATGTTGTGGTTGCTGTATGTTTATTTGGTCCCTGTAATCTTTTGGTATTATCCAGACTGGATTGATATATAGTGGTATTGCAGGTATGTAGGCCACCTCAAGGAAAGGACTCTAAAGGATCAGATGGCCAAAGACCCTACAGAAGTCATTCGCAAAGCTGTTCTGCGCATGCTGCCTAGAAACAAACTACGTGATGTAAGTGCCGCATAGATCACTGTTTTTGGGAATTTTGAACTGAGTATGGAATTTCATTACTGGTGTCTATGATTGGTTTGGATATTGGTAGAGAAGAATCTCATTTGAGACAAAAAAGAAAACCCTCAAACAGTATACAATGACATGTTTGTTCATCATTCTCAGTTAACCAAACAGGAGCAATTGATCTTATTTTCTTGGAAAATTTAAGCAAAACTTTCACCAGTAAACCTTAAAATATGTGATGATCAAGAGTATAGAAATATTATGATTAAAAGTCATCATGAACTTACGTTTTTTCTTTTTCTTTTTCCTTTTTTGTGTGTGTTGGGGTGGGGGTAGTAAAAAAAAATAGAATTAAAGGGGAAGTTGCCCCATAATTCTAAGTCTGACATGTAAGTCATCACCCCACCCCATTTCAAGGTTATGCGTTATGCCAAGTGCCAACCATTGTTGGCTACTTCATGAATTGTGGTTCCTTCCATCATGTAATCCAATACTTTTGCTTCAGTGCTTTACTTGCACTTGTATTCTGTCATCGATGTGTATAAAAGTTAAGTCATTATCGTAAGTGTCAAACAACCTTTTGCTGAATGATAGTTTTCTTAATAGCTTGTGGTTTTCAATTATTTCTTTTCATTAGAGCGTGTTTGTGATATTTTTTTGTTCCATATAATATTGAAGAACTGATATTCTAAGCTGCATTTCCTTGCATTATTGCCAATGGCTATAGGATAGGGATCGAAAATTAAGGATCTTTCCTGGAAGTGAGCACCCTTTTGGTGATCGGCCACTTGAACCTTATGGGATGCCTCCTAGAAGTGTACGAGAAATGCGGCCTCGAGCAAGGCGTGCCATGATTAGAGCACAGAAGAAGGCTGAGCTGCAACAACAGAGTGCAGATGGAACGAAGAAGGGCAAAAATGGAGAACCACAAGAAGAGAGTGCCTGAAAGCGTTATCTTGCTCAAGGAAGATGATGCTGACCAATGGGTTGTCATTGGAATGGAAAGCCATCTATATATTTGTTTGCTAGAAAATCCTACCATGCCGACATGAATTGTGTTTGATTTTCATTTTTACAAGTCTTTTAGCAAGAGCATAGTTAAAGCATGATCGATTCACATAATAGAGGTTGCCTGGATCTTTTTCAGCGATAATTCTTTTAAGTTTAAAGGTTTAGTCTAAACTACCATTTCAGTTTTCCAAGATTTTAGTCCTTTTGCCGGTTGCCAGAATTTGTAATCGAAGTAGCTACTTCCATCACTCTCACGCAGTGCCACTGTGCAAATGCGAAATTCCTGTTTGTGTTTCTCTCCCATTACTAATAGTTGATAATTTTCCTTGCTAATTTCTTATTGCCCTACTTCTCAATTTTATTCTTTTGAATCTTTGGCCAATCGTCAAGAAAGTAGTTGGAATTAGATATCTGAAGCGATCCCCCTTACTCAACCATTGCCGTTCAACTTTTATTGTTATTTTGTGTGGATTATTAGCATTTTAATATCCACAAATTGTGTGCATAGGGAATTAATAGTATGTTACCTGACATTGTCTTTACATTCTTTTAAGTATTGTAGTGCTACTTGTCTTATAGATAACGGTATCGTTAAGTAGGTTATTTGTGTCAGGCTTCTTGAACTTACACTAAGCTGAAGTGTGGACAAAAATTATATGTTAATAAATTTATATTTTCATCGATTAGTAACCTAGGTGAATAGATATTAATTTGATCCTCAAAAAATGTTTTCACTATTTTAATTTTGAAAATTGCTAATCTGTTCAAATTAAGTTGTTTGATTTTTTTTTTTCTAATTTTTTAAACCCTATCTTGCAGAGTAATTTATAAGAATTATTTTTCAAAAGAAAGAAAAAAATCAGTTTGATAATACTACTTCAAAAGTTAGATGAACGCATACTTTGAAAGTAAAATTACAATTATTTGATTTGCTTTTAACTTATTTTATGATTAGTTTAATCATGAAGAAAAATTTTCTTTAAATCTATAAAGAAGTAATCAATAAGTGATTAGCTTTGGGGTTATATATTTGATTATTTTAAGCAATAACTTAATTTTGAGTCTTGTATATAAAATCCCTTATTAAAGGTGATGGTCTGACCTAATATGAATATTTTTAACTTGAATAAGATTATTTTTATAAAAGATATGTTCTTAAACAAAATTTATAATCGAGTAATTAAATATATTTGACCTCATAAGTCTGAGTTTTTTTTATCTACCTAGTGCTTAATCCAGTGGGGGATGAAAAATTTCACCATATAATGTTAAAAAAATAGATAGAGTAAAACAAATTAAAATCATTTTTTAATTGGGATGAATTTGTAATAATATTATAAAAAATCATTTTCAAAACTTAAACAATATTTAACTAAATAAACAGATAAATATGAAAAAAGGTAATAATTTACACATTTATGTATAATAATTGAATTCAATTTATACATTTAAATAATTATGAGTTTTTATGAATATTTGCCTTTATAAGTATCAATAATTAAGATGAAGCAGAATTATTCGTGTCTGATTTGAATATTTGACTTTTTTTAAATAATATTTAATCATTTATATCTCACTTATAATATGTTTTTCCATTGCATAAAAAATATTTACAATAACATAAAAAAGTATCATGGGACTAAAAAGTAGTTTGAACATTATTTACTATAAACGAATATCTTCCTCTCAATTTCACGATGCAAATTATGAATAACCACACTATTGGAATTCGATTTGATACATCAACCAAATTAGACTGTGGTAATCCTTAGAGGAAGAAAAAAACTGTCTTGTATGATAAAGGAAATTTTTTTAAAAATAAAGTTAAATTATATATTTAGTAATTATTATATAGAAAGTCATATTTTAGATTTTGTAATAACGTTTTGTTGCATTTTGATATTTATCGTTAACGATATTATAACAAAAACTAAAATATAATAAAATATTTATATAAAGACTAAAATGTAAATTTTCTTAACTATAAGGACTAATTTGTAATAAATGTTATCGAAATTAAATATATATTTTAACCATAAATAAACAAAATTGATAAAATTGTCTAGAAAAAAATAAAAATAAACTACTAAATAAAAGAATCATAAATTTAAAAAAAAACTTAAAAATTATTTATAATTTAAAATCATATATGTATTTATTAATTGAATATTGAGTCCTTATAAAAATTACATAATTTAGACTTAATTTTTATAAAAATATTTTGTTAGAATATAATTTTATTATATCACTCTCAGCTGAAGGAATTAAAAATAACAACTCATGAAAAAGTAGTGACTTTATCTTAACAACAATACAAAAACTTATAAGAACTAAAACTAAATTATATAACTTCTATAAATACCAAACATTTAACTAAGCCAAAAAATATACTATACATAAATTGATATAGTTACATATTACATAATTATAATAAAAATATTAACATTAATATTTTATTCATTCCTTTAAATGTAGAATAAAAATTAAAATATCAAATTAAATGAGATTCTTTATTAGTCAAGAATCAAGAGTTATGAAAATAAGGTCAAGTTATAATACATGTATTTTTTTAATTAAATTTGGTATAATATATTCTTTTAAAATTATAATTGATTAAAATATATATTTATTGTTTATATTTTACATATTTATAAATTAGCTCATATACTTAAAAAAACATATTTTAATTTTTATATTTAAAACAATTAACATTTTAAGCTACCATACAAGTATTTTATCATATTTTAGTCACTTCTATAGTTAACTTCTATAGTTAACGTCATAATAATGATATAGATTAAAATATAAACATCAGAAATCAAAACACAACAAAAGACTTATAAAAATATTAATATGTAACTTTTCAAAATATAAATACTAAAATAAATTAGTCAATTACTAACTAAATATATAATTTAACTTTCAAACAGATTGGCATGAACAATGAACCGAGTTATATAGTTACTACTGTATATCCAGTGTCCAATAACATTCACGAGCACAAAAAGTAACTATTATATTCCCAGTATGGACATATCATATACATTTGTTTAATTCTTAGTAAGCTGTTTTATAGATAAATCATTATTTTTTATATCGAATTTTAACTTGCGTGCATGCTTAATCTTTAGGGGCTACACAACAATGTGAATGAGTTTTGAGGGGGAAAAATTACAGATTATTGGCATCATAATATTTTAGGTTTTTTAAAAAGTGAGTGATCTCCAAAAATTTGAGACATCAAGAATATTATATTTCATCATTAAATGATAAAACACATGAAAATCACCTAGATAATTATGAAATTGAATAAAAATAATAATAATTTGAAAGTTTAAATGGAATAAAATTAATAAAAGGACTGAATTTGTTAAATTCTAAAAGTTAAACAATTTAAGGATTGTTTTACTTCAGGAAATGATTTTACCTTCGGTTTTCATTCTATTTCTTGTTTTCTAATATTTGGAAATGAAATGTTGCAAACAAGGTTTTTCTATTTTCTCTGTTTCCTGTACAAATATTAGAAAACAAGAAACATAATGAAAGTAAGATAACAGATTTGTAATTAAAAATAAAATAAAATAAAAAACATTTTCACAATCCAATCAAGCCTAATTAACTCAAATAGTCAAAATTGCACATCATTTATACAATTAACCCTTCAAGTAATTGCACTTAAACCATGTAATAACGATTCTTTGAGGCTTAAAAAGACTAGTAATCCATCAAAAGAATGAAAAAGTAAATATAGTAATTAGGTTAAACTAACTTAAGTTATGTTCTTAAGGATCATTGGATGATTGAAAGAATATCAAACATCTTCCATGCATTATGTTTAAAAACGGGGGAGTTTTTATATTGATTTGGTAAAAACAAAATTAGAAATTAAATTGGATTAAATTCAAATGTAAGTGATTGATCAATCTACTAATTAATAATCTAATCTAGAGTTCTTCATCGGATTCAAATTATGTTTTCCAATTATTAAACTTAGCTTCAATGTGATTACTGCAAAATTAGCATTTTGAATTCAATGTAAAATTTAGATCAAGCAATTAAACAATTCTTAATGAAGGATTAGCATTTCAAGCATAAAATCTTATGAACTCTTTCAATTCAATTCAAACCTTACAAGAATAACACTTAACAAAATTTGAATTACATATAATGTAGAATCTCAAGCGAAATTCAATGAGGTTTAATTACACAATTAATTCTTAGTTAATCAAAATCATGCCCAGAATTGGGAAAAGAAAAAAATTAGGTTGAAGAATTGGAGCATTTTAAGAATATTAACTTAGATTCTTATAATTAGAGTAAATTTAGTGAATTAATTCAAAGAATTAGCCTTCCATTACAATGAAATGTAGAATTGCAGAGAAAAACATTACAAACATTCAAAGAAATGTAGAATAAAGGAGAATTAAGAAGTAAAAACCCTACAATTGAGCCTTGGAAATTGCTCCTTAAGCGTTCACTGTTCTTCTAAGAATCTAGAAAAGAAAAAAATGAGAAAAAATGCGTAAATTCCTAGCTTTGATTTATTCATAATTTTTTTACTTTTCTAACGTGATCACTTTTTGTGAGAAAAATAACTACACACAGGACTTCCTGCAAAGCCAGGGTCTAGAACAATCACTATTTGTGAGAAAAGTGGCCACACATAGATGTATTTCTTCATAAGACTTGCGTGTAATCACTATTTACACAGAAAGGAGCCACGCGCAACCTAGTTCCTTCATAACAGGCTTGCGCGTGGTTACTTTTGGTGAGAAAAGTAGCTACGCGTAAGCTTTGCTCCTAAAAACTCCTCTAGAAGACTCACTTTTGGCAAGAAAAGTGGTAATGCGTAGAGCCTTTCTCTCGAAACCTTTCAGCGTTCCTCCTTTTGGCATGGAAAGTGATAATGCGTAGTTGAGCTCCTTTAATCAAGCTTTGGAGCGACCACTTTCAATGAGAAAAGTGATCATGCCCCTCATCAAACAACTTCCAAGTAGTTACTTTTTGTACCAAAAGTAGCCACACTCAGTACCTTTATGCTTTATAACTTTGGAGTTGTCACTTTTTGTGGTTGAAGTGATCACTTTCATCCAATTTTTTCTTTGTTCTTCAAGTCATGATTCTTAGTTCAGAATTTCCTGTAGATTTATTCCAATCAACCAAATTACATAAGAAATCTATGAAATCTAAACAATTTGAATTATTTTAACCAAATTAAATTTATTTGAACAATTAACATTTTTATGCGATTTTAACCTTTGTAACTATTTTTCTATAAAAAACTTATAGAAAACTAACTAAAATTCTAGTAAAATGAGAATTTATCATCACCCCAAACTTGAATTTTCGCTTGTACTCAAGCAATCTAAAACACACAAAGGGATTTGATCTATCCATCTATTGAAACAAAAAATGAGAAATCTTTTTACACAATTTTATGTTCAAAGTTTTTCAAAGCTCTTTCATTCCACTTCATGCTTTCTAATTGTCCTTCCACAAATTCATTTTCATAATCAATTATAATGAAGCTACACTCAAGAAAATCATTTCATGCAGAATCTTACTAATTGAGTAAATAAATCAACAAAGCTTCATGCAACATATTAATGATAGAAATCATCACAGCTCACAAGTTAGTGTTTCTCTTTTCACTCATCAATGTTTAAGATAAGTGTTTTCTCTCAAAATTACCAAATTGTTTCACCTTACCATATGCTTACCTATATTCTCAATTTCCTTTACTTATATACAGTTAATCACAAATCAAAAGTACTTTTGCTAGTTAAAAATGGGACTAAGGTTAAAGTAAGTGTTACATAAATAGGGAAACAATTCAGATAATTCCAAAGAGGAGAGAGACATTTTGAGTGAATAAGCTTAAAACTAAAATGAAACTGCATTATTTTTCAATCATCCTTTAAACTGTACAACAGACATAACAATTTTAGATCAAAGATGATGTTAAACAATTCCAATCACTTTTTTTTCTTTTGCTTTCATTCACTATTTTCTTTTCATTTCTTTCATTAATTTTCTTTTTATAACAACACTATTTTGAATATTTCTGTATTTGAACATAGGTTTGCTTTTTATTGCTTTTTGAACATAGCTCAATTGATTCTGCTACTCTTTTCTCTTCCATTCCAAACTTAAAACATTATTTGTCCTCAAGCAATTTAAAATGTGAGTGTCACTCAAAACTTAATTTTGATAAAACTCAAATTAACCTCTTTTCCTTTGGATAGGTAATATGATTTTTTTCATTAAGGCTTGTAATGAAATAAGTCAAGGAAAAAAGTCTGTTCAACTCAAAGGAGTGAACTAGGATAATCAAGTATAAGGAAGGCTTATTTAAGCTAACTAAGTATAATCAAAGAAAGTCCCTATCAAATATATGAAAATTGCAAAATACATATTCAACCAAGAAACAGAGCAAGTTCTAGAAGGTGAATGAAAATTGTGATGAAAATGCACACACAAAAAAGAATTCACGATAGAAGGCTCAAGTCTTACCAATGAGATTTAAGTGATAATTTCATATAAAAAAAATATTTACAATTCACCTTTTGAAATAAAGTGTGATCATCATACGAAGAATATTCACAAATAATTTATGTACTCAAAAATTAGAAATCATGAAGTGGAAAAAGAAAAAAACTCTATTTATGCATCAAAAGAACTTAAAACACAAACAGGATAAACTACTAGGTTTTCATATTTTCTTAAGTTTTACTAACAAAGACAAACTGAGACACATAAAATTAGAGATAAAGTGATCACCTCCCCTTTTACGAGAGTTGTTCACAGAATAAAGTCCATGCGCTCCACCTCATGAGATTGAGAGCATGGTCTGCAAAAAATATCACAAATATTTAAAGTAGATTATCAAAGAAAACTGAACTGAAAAATACCAAATAATAAAACTGTAAAGGTGCTTACAACCATGAAAATATCAAAAAGTGAAAGCAAAAACTTGTACTTATCCTAAAAACAAAACCAAAATACTACTAACTACAAAAAGGAAAATAACAAAAAATATAAAATCCTAATCTAATCATCTGCTGCTTCTTCCTTTGAACTCTCTTCATGTTCCTTAGATTCATCTTCTTCTTCTGCTGGAGTAGAATAATCTGTTCTGAATGGAGGAAGATCACTAAAGATAGTGGATCTGAGGTATTGAGTGTCTTCAGCCTGGATATCATAGATCTGATTTGAGGTCATTCCCATACGCTTCCCAATGTTTACTAACATATTTTCCAAAAGCATGACTCCAGCTATGTAGCTCTCATGAAGTGCATTTTGTTTTTCAGCCAAACTCTGTAATTGATCCTTAACCCTTAATCGAGGAATTTTTCTGAATTGTGCAGGCCCAGCAGAATCAGCAGCAACTCGTTTGGAAGAGTAAATATCTTTGACCATAGAAGGGGGTGCTGCTCTAATACGCTCCTGAAAATCACCAAAATCCACACCTGCATCTTCACATTACAAAGTAATTAGAGAAGGAAAATCTAGGGAGTCTCTTTTCCTTTTCAGGATTTCCAGCATACAACCACTGATTACTTCTCCTACATCTATCACCATTCCACTGACTATAGCATATAAGAGTTCAACCCTCATCACAACCAAGGTGGAATTATGTTTGACTAGTGTAAAGAAACTTAAAATATGCATGATGTTTTGAAGTTGTCCAATGCATTTAGATGTGAAAGCTTAATTCAGAATGCCTTCTCATAGAAATCACATGATGTGGGACAAAATTAACTGAATTTATGCAGTTGTATCAGAACAAACATAGCAACACTATCAACTTCAAATTCAACTTGCAATTTTATCAAACACTTGGTGGGTTCTTCTCAACACACATAAAGCACATGTTTAGGAATTTCCCTCATCAAATTTCATAATTGAATTTTTTCCAAACTTTTCCTTTGAAGAACCCTAATCAGAAAATTCAAGCATTAGAGAGAAAATTACCTGGAATTGAAGTATGGATGATGCTTAATCTCACTTGCAAGAAGTAAAAATCCACTCAAATCAAGTTCAGAAAGTGATAATTGATGAGAAAGAAATTTTTAAGAGAGGTGAGGTAGAGAGAATTCTGAGTTTTAGGGTTGCAGAATGAATGCGTGGCTACTTTGGCCTATTTATATAGCCATGCAGGAGCATGTAGCTCCTTTTTGCGTGAAAATTGTGTGCTCCAAAGAGAAACCTGATGGTAAAGAGTGTGCGTGCTCACTATTTAAGTAAAAAGTGAACGTTCCAGAGAAAAAAAAGTGGTAGTTGGAAAAAGTGATAATGCGCAATCTTACTTAGTGTGCATGGTTACTTGGAAAGAGTGATAGTTCCAAAGAGAAATCTCAATCCTTGTATGCACGTGATCACTTTTTAGGCAAAAAGTGATTATGCGTAACCTGTGCGGCCAGAAAAGGCCTGAGTATTATCACTTTTTTGCATAAAAAGTAATTGTTCCAAAGAACAACTCTTCCATACATATTATGCGTGATTCCGTTTTGTGCAAATAATGATCACTCCTGTAACCTCCATATTGAATTGGAATGATTATGCTACTGTTGTGCTCTCTTTAGATTCTTTAAGTGTTTGTGTGGTTAGGGCTGTTTTTGCTTGCAATTTAAGTTGCTAAACTTACATGTTTATCTTGTAGGGTTTTTTAAAGATAAAAAAAACTTTTTATCATTTAAAAATAAACTAACTTTTTTTTTTTTTACCCTTAAAATGACACTTGAGATTTTTTTAAAGGAAAAAATAGTCTTCTCATCAGAATACATTACCTACCTTATCTTTTTCCTTCTTCCCGTTTCTCATCTCCATCTTTGCTCTGTTTTAGTGGGTATCCTTTATTTAGCTTCTCTCATCTTCATATTTATATTGTTTTACATGTATATATTCAACTTTGTAAGATATCCGTGTTACGATTCTACGAGTTATGATCTTTCATCTCCTCTCTGATCCTATGCTAATAACCACTGAATGATGACATGATTAACAAAGATGTGTCAACTATTTGTGTTACCACATTAATAAGAGGGATCAGAGCACACCTAAGTTACACAAATAGAGGGACAAAACCCATAAAATTTAGGAATGGAAAACACATATAAGCTTGAAAGAAATATATCTACTGTGCTACAAGGGAATAGACAAGGTAACCAACTTTGCTGGATAATTTGATCACTCTGCTGAAAGATATGGCACAACCTTCAAATTTCAAAAGCAAAGCTACAAACATAAAATGTCATATAGGCAAACAGAAAAACAAAGTGATGAAGGATTTCCAAGAATACTAACTCATCCATTTTTTTCTCTTTTTTAATGGATACATTTAAATGAGTAAACAAAAAATTAGATAAATAGCTACACACCTTGGTCCTCATGCATTACCTCAAAAAGCACAAGAAGACAAAGGAAAAGTACATATCCTTAAACTGAAAATTTTAAATGATTTTGCATCTAATTTTTTCTACCCTTATTTCTTCTGTTTGACACTACAACCCATCCATCATCTGCTTCACCTGCAACTTCTGGCAGAGGCTCATTTACTTGCATGTTCACTGAATTTGAGTTCAATTCAGATGTTGGAGTATCCACATTCATGTATGCAGTATTGTTGTCTCCAATAATGTTTTCATCATTATCACCATCTTCATCTGTGTCATCTTCATCATCATTCACAATCTAGCACATAAAAAATGACTAACATTATCACGAGTTTCAAAATCAAGGGAAGTGGATAATCACCCAGTTGTTATTTAGGTTACATATAAAGAAAGATAAATGTGTATACATCAACCAAACATGCTTACTTAGTTAGTAAGCATATATAACAAGTTGACAATTACCAAAATCTTGTCTCATGCCAGGGTTGTTAGCAGGGTGTTGAAACTTGTGTGAACCAGAAGGTAAGCAAAATTGTAGGCAATTCAGTTCAGTCCTAGCATCAAGCAGTCTTTAAAGTTGATCATACATTTTTAACACAATGAACAGACAGTTTATATTGTTTCATAAACTTATCACGATAAAAATCTTAACGTACATCAAATTCCTCAGTGTCTCTTATTACTACTCACCAGAAGCATGGTAATTTTTTTTCCTTATTTTGAATATAGAGAAATACCATAGTTCCAGACATATTTGTGAATACACTCCATTATTTCAACCTATATGACATGTAACAGGGAATGAATGAAGCAGAGATACTACAAGTACCCAAATAAATGCTAAATTTATAGATAGAATTTCTTGAAGAATCTAAAACAAGGTTTAAAGAAATTCAGTTGACACTTGACAGAAAGTTTGAAAGGCAAGAGAGAGCCACTAGAGAATTCCTTTATTGAGGCACACAAGACTTGTAATTTTACAAATTCCCCCTTCAACCTTCTATAATGACAAATGCTAAATTTATAGGAATACATAAATCATATATAAACATGTAAATTTGATATTGTGAATCTAATCTAATTATAAATAAGTTAAGTTCCATTCTGAGTATATGGTGGCTGTAATATACCTGTATTGCACGAGGATGAGCAGCTTGCTTAAGATTGGCTTCCCTGAGAGTCTCGATAGACTTAAAATTACCTTCTAAGCATTCTTCATGCATAACCATTAGTTTTTCAGCTACCTACATAATCACAAACATGGATATGAAAAATAAGCACAATTGGACATTGCAAATGTAAACACATACAGAAAAAAGGCTAAATTACATTTACACCTCCTGAAATTTAACAAAATTCAATTCTATACCCTTCCAATTTTACATTACTTCAAACCTGTGAATCATATAACCCAGGTAGTTAAAATTGGGATTTTACTTTAAATCGTAAAGGAGAGTGACAATTGCAAATTGTAAATTTATAAATTGAATCGTAAGATTTTATAAAATTCATATATATGATATAAATTCATATTATTCATATAAAATATCATAAATTAGGAGAAAAAAACCGTTAAATCAGTAAAAGCACTTAAACAAAGTAGCACTCAGAAATCATAATCTATTCAATAAGAATGTAATGCATCGACGTGAGTAAAAAATAGACCAAAACAAAAAAGATGCAAGAACAGCAGCACTAGACTTGAACTCAGAGCAGTAGCACACTGCTGGGTTTAGTTGCGCAGACCAGGCTACATGCATTAGGACTGTTGAATGTTGATAACAGCGTTAGGGTTCAAAGCTGCTAGAGGCAAATTAGATTCCATAAAAAGGAGATATATGAAAGAGGGGTCAACTACAATAGGGTTCAATTGAGGGATTTTACGATTCAAATCAGGATTTTAACTACCTTGCATATAACTGCGTAAGAAATTTGGGGTGATTTGTTTAATTGATAAGGGTATGCGGTATTACGCTGATATATAAATTAATAGAAATTTGTCTTGGGTGAAAAAAAAAAGAAGGGTTGTCAAGTGAAATTTTGTTAAACCACAGGAGATGTGAATGTAATTTTCCCTAACAAACAAGTCCTTAGCAAATAGCGACAAAATATACGCAGTTCAAATCTATTTGAAAGAATCTTATAAAAATTAACATTCAAAACCTTTAACTAGCAAATTTTAGTAGAAAAGATATTACACTAGCAGAGTTCAACAACAAATTAAATGAGAAAATATAAACCTACCTCTTCAATACTGCCATCTTCAACCTCTACATTGAGCAAAAGCATACCTTGATCCAATATCTCTTCTAAGTCATCAATATAAAGCGGCTCTGAGCAGAAACAATCAAAATTAGAATAAAAAAAAAATATTAAATGAATGTGAGGTCTTACAGTTAATCGATATATACCTTTGGATTGAGTGAACCAAGAAAGTATGTGAGAAGAAAGTTGTTGAGCTTTGAGACGAGATTCACGACCACCCCATTCGTTCTCAACAGCCGTTTGAAGAGCTGACCAACGAAACAGAACCAAATCAATTCCTTCGCTCAAAACACTTTTCGACTCTTCTTGTAGTCTTCTTGAATTCTCCATTCTTCTTCCCCTCTCTCTCTCTCTCTCTCTCTCTCTGCTTTCCTGTGTTACCAAAACACCATAAACCCTTTTCCCAATTATATACCGCAAGATAGCAGTTTTATATACGTGTTTTTGTTGATTTTTCTTTAATTAAGATTGAAATTTATCTCTACAACTAGTTATTTTCTTATTGGACACGTATTATTAAATTAAAATTTTCAATAATTAATTTAATATATATTATACAATTATTTTTAAATTTAATAAATTTTGTAATTTTTTAAAACATATTATTATAACTATTAGTAGAAAAAATTATTAGATTAAAAATAAATTTTACAAAATTTTAAATTAAAAATTGTATAATATAAAAAAATCATTTAGTATGATGAAAAACAATCTCTAAAAAAATTCTGATTTAATAATATTCTTAAAAATGCAAAATCGTTTCTGTTTAGAAATTGTTTTATATATTCAATTAATAATAATTATAAACAGTTCATTGATGGTATATGTTAATATTTAAAGTTGATTTTTATATAAATTATTCAGTAAATTTTTTTTTAAAATAATATAAAAAAAACACCTAAAATGTAACGTGGGGTGTTTTCTCGCACAGTATTAAGTTTTTAAAATTTATGATACTATAAAAAAAAATATTTAAAGAAAAACCTTATTGATTTTGTATACTTATTGCTAGACCATTGTATTGAGTAAGAATGTTGATAATTATAATTAAATAATAAATATTAACACCCTCACAAGGTTAAATAAAATAGTTATTTTTTAATTAATTGTGTAAAATTATTTTAATGTTAAAAATATTATTTTACTTAAAAAATAATTTATATTTTTTATTATTTATAAATTTATTATTTTTATATAATTTTATAATAGAAAAGAATATATCATTAAAACAATAATTTTTAAATAAAAACATAACTTTAAAAAGAAAACCACATATTTATTTTTAATTTGAATTAAAAAATAAATTATATATGAAAATATTGTTTATTTTAATTTTTGGGATAAAAGAAATTTATTTAAAAATAATTTTGATATTTTTTTATTCATATTAGATTAAGAAAAGGTAATGATTCATTTTTATTTTTAAAAAGGAAGAAAATTTTGAAATATATTTTAAATTAGATAAATATATTTTAAAATATATATTTTTATTGTTTTAGAATTAAAAAAATAAAAAATATATAAATTTTAATATCAATAGTTCAAATTTTCGCTTCTACACATTTTTGTTACAGAGAAATTAAAGTGACGTCTGATTTTTTAGTATAAAAATTTAAGATATAACTATTAGAAATAATAAGAATGTTTTATTTTTATTTTTTTAAATTTTATCATTTTAAAAGTAATTTCAAAACTAAATTAATAAATAAATTTTGTTTTCATTTTTTTCTTAAAATATCATTTTTAAAAAATTAAATAGTACAAGTTTAAAAAATAGCCCTAAATCGACAGTTAGCACCTCTTCTTTCTTAACCAAATCTTTTTTTTTTCTTTAACCGAGATTTTGCAATCTCTAATTCATAGATCACTTTCCAATTTCACACAGCAACGAAAAAAAGAAAAGACCTCAATAAAAAGCTATAGCCTATAACATACTAAACTAAGTATGTTATAAATTAAAAAACTATTATAACTTAAAAAATATCTTAAGAATATCTCTTGACCTTTTGCCTTCTAAGAATTGTCAAACTCTTCATATTTTAAGCTCATACATGACTCCAACACACAACTATTATATGTGTATACTACTAATTTTATGTTTATGCTAACTAACTTTATTTCTACAACAAATCTTAAATTTTGCAAATATAATATAGAAAGTAATATAAATATATTATAATCAGTTTTAGTTTGAGTTGGGTCAATTTTGATAATAGGAACTGAAATCTAAACTAAATTAAAATATATAATGTAATTTTTTTCACTTTAATCAATTTTTAGTTTAATTTTTTTTAATTTTTTTTTATTTGATTCAATTCTAAACACTTTTAATTATTGTGGGATAAAAATAGCATTAATTTCTCAACTATCATATTCTAATTACGATGGAACTTGAATTTTGGGATTGGTACATGTTTAGATGCACATTAAAATATTATAAACTGGTGTTCATTTTATTATAGGGAGGTTTTAAATTTAATCATATAGATTAGATTTTAAGTTAATCTAATTTAGTTTTTTAAAATAATTTCAAATTTATTTTAAAAATTGAATTTTATTTAAAAGTAGTTTTAAATCTGGTTCTGGTTAAAATTAGTTTTAAATTCAATTTTAAATATAATTTTTCAGACAAAATCAACTTTAAACATATTTTTATTTTAATTTATAAGACAACTAATTTTAAATTTAGTTTTTAAATTAATTTTTTTAACCTATGAAAGAGTTACATAAAGAAATTTTTAAAAATTAAAATAAAAGGAATGACAGAAATATGTTCTTGGCGAGAATAAAATAAAATAAAAATAAATTTATAAAAGTAATATTTTATATAAATATTGAAACAAATTTGCTAAAAAATATTTAATAAAATCTCTCAAATATTTCTTTATAAACAATAAAAGAGAAAGTATAAGTCCAGTTAATTAATATTAAAATTATATTTCTTTATTACCTAAATCACCAAATTAAAACTCGAATACATCATCAATCTTATCTTGAAATGAATAAAATTTGGCAAATAAAACTAATTATCCATATTTTCTCTCCATAACAACAACTCATTTCTTGAAATAATTGAAAAAGCTCACTACATCGCCACTGAGATAATAGTAAACAAATAAAATTGAAACAGTAAACGAAAGTGAAGACAAACGCATGAGTTGAAGGGGGCAAGTCGCTCTTGTCACTCTCAATTTCTCATTCCACAACAATTCCTACGAAACATTTTGATATCCACTCCGCAATTGCAATAATACCTTTCCATCCACCATGCCATGACGGTAATAATACTCTTCCAACTTGGGATGAAAATATGATCACTGGACTTTGATTAAATAAGTTTGACCTATTTAAAAATTTTTGAAATATAAATTTCAGTTATTATCTATCATAAATTTGTTATTAAGTTTAAGTCTATTTTTGTAAATGTCTATTTTAGTTTATTATTTTTTTTAATGACCTACTTTTTATTAAGACATTTAAATAAATAAATTATTTTATTATTTTTAATTGAATAAGATATTTTATTATTTTGAAAATAAAAAAAAGAAAAAAATAATAAAAAAAAGTTATATATAATATAAATAAGTACATAATGTAAGAAAACGATAGATGAGACGAACCAGCTATAGATGTATTTGAGATAACAAATTAATGTTATGCTTATAAAATAGATTAAGTAACAGAAATACAAAAGAGTCCAATAAATAAGATTCTATCTTGTACAAGAGTATATAGTAGGCACACTCTTTAGCTCAAATAAAAAGGATTAGAATTTCTGATTTAAAATTATATTCATTTTAAAATTTATTTTATTTAATATAACATTATATTATAATTTTTATATAAAATTATTTAATATATTAATATAAATTTTATGTATTTTAAATAGGTTATTCTAATAGGCTTAATAGACTTTTTCTTAAGTTCAAGTATAACCTATTTAATTAATTAAGTCTATAAAAAAGTCTATTATTTAATTAGGCTAGGCAGTAGGCCCTGTCGGATAATCTAGCCTATTTTCATCCTTACTTTCAACATTAAAATTACACAGTCATATTAGGATATCCAGTTTTGGTAAAGAAAATCTATTTTTTTTAATGGGTTTCAGAATAATTTAAAAAAAAAAGAGCTGGAAGTTGTAAGCAACTTTATAGCTGTAAAACTAGCAAAAAGTTTTTGAATTGTAGTTGAAATCTTATAGTTGTGTAAGTAGCTTACGAAATTAAATTATTTGACTAACGAGTTGTACAAGTAACTTATAGATGTTAAATGACTTAAAAAAAATAATATTATATTAAAATTAGATACACTTATTAATAAGAATGATATTACTCATTCAAACAATAACTTAGTTTATTGTTAAAATAATTTTTAATATGTTATATCAATAAAGATTACATAAATTGATTTAAATAATTTTTTATAATTTATTTCTTAATATCAAAAGTATTATTTATCTACTTAATTTAGTTTTACCTAACAAAATACACTATTAACTATTAATAAAAAAAAAAATTATCATATCATGAAATATATACATGCAACATAAAATATTAATGTTATAAAAGATACATGCAACAAATGTTGTGTTTCAACAAAGTAATTAGTAGATGGATAACCGATCAAGCTTGATTGTAACGACAAAACGTCTCTCTCTCTACTGTGTTTACAATCTCACCATTATAATTGATAAGTTTGTATTTTGGCATGTTTTTATATCTTATATATTTATGTGCGACCATTATTTTATTAAGTTTTTACACTAATTTATATATTAATTGTGCAGATTAATATGAGAAGGCCACAATTGGGTTTTTGGTATATTTTGAGTTCAAATTAGTTGGAAAATATGGTTTCGCTAAAATTAGCACGCCCATACCCTAGCAGTTAGCATAAGAGTGCTTCGAGTCACGTAGACAACTGTGCTTATGGTCTTGTAAAACTATGCTAAGTGAGCACAGTTGTGCAAGGCCATAAGCACAACTTTGCATGTGATCAAAGCATTCTCGTGCTAGCTATTAGGGTTTGGGTGTGCTAAATGTAGCGAAACTCTATTTTTCAACTAATTTGAATCCAAAATATACTAAAATCTCAATTATGGCCTTCTCATATTAATATGAACAATTAATATATAAATTAGTGTAAAACTCAATTAAAATAATGGTCACACATAAATATATAGGTTATAAAAGTATGTCAAAATACATATTCATCACTAAACAAACGTGAGATTGTAAATTTAACTAAGGAGTGTTCAACTATTGTTCTTAAAAACTTTCACCTAAGCTTAAGGACTTAGGGAGTTTTACTATCCCTTGCACCATCGGAAAAACTCATATTGATAAAGTCTTATGTGATTTATGAGCCAATATTAACCTTATGCTTTATTCTATTTTCAAGAAACTTGGAATGTATAAACCTAAACCAACTTTTGTGTCACTTAAGTTGACAGATAGGTCGATCACATATCTTAAAGACAGTGAAAAATGTGCTTGTTAAAGTTGGAGAGTTCATATTTTCTATTGATTTCGTGGTGCTTGACATGGAAGAAGAAGATGATGATGTCCCTATCATTCTAGGCAGACCCTTCTTGGCTACTGCAAAGGTCATCATAGATGTCCAAGAATGAAAGCTCACCTTAAGGCTAGATGATAAGGAAGTCATTTTTCAAGTTTTCAATTCTTTAAAGTACTCTTTTAACTAAGAATTTTGTAACTTTGTGAGCAGTGTGGATATTGTTTCTTCTCCTTTAAATTTTATGAAACATAGAACTCCAGAAAGAAGGCCAAGAAACAAGTAATCTAAGAATAAGGAGAAACAAAAGCTCAAACCACCCATTAATAAACCCCTAGATTTAGAGTTTAAATTTTTTTCCTCTTAATTTTATTTCTCTTCCTCTTTCCCTTCCTATAATTAACCCTTCTAATGTGATAGGTGTTATAGAAGAGAAGTTGTTAGGAAGACAACTACATATCAAGAGAATTACCTTTGAGACTCATGACTTCTTCCCATCATAATCTTAAAGGACTGTGCGGAGGCAACTTGCATCTTTCATTTTAATTTTATTCCCTTTCATTTATTTTAATTTTGTTCTTTTGTTTATATTTTTAGAATGAAGATTGAGCATACTAGAAGCTCAAAGGAGTTAAGTTAATCATTATTGTACACACATTTTGAGCTCTGATTCATAAACACGACTATGCATGTAGTCACAGTTAGAGAAAAAGGGTTCTATTTTGTAAGCATGGACGTGCATATGATTTAGTATGACTGTGCTACAACACTAGAGGCTGCTGCACCTAAGGAATCACATTGTGACTCTCAAATAGGCAATTTTCCCATACTTATTAGGGAGTTCCTTTCCTTTCTATTTTAATTGGCCTTTTTGCATGCATTTAATTTTTTCAATCATTGAGGACAATGTTTTGCTTTAAATATGAGGAATTCCTAATAATATAATTTCTATTACATATTCTTAAGTAAATGTTTGTGCCCTAATTCAAGATAATTTGTAACTTTTTTTCTCAAAGAACTAAATTTTTTCAGATAGAAGAGAACGTTGAGTGATTATTATTGGAATAACATTTTTATTTGAAAACTAATAATTAACTAAATTCCCTACTTGTGTGCTTTATATTAAACTTTAACCCACAAATGTGAGTTTTGAGCCTTAAATGAGATTTTCATCCTAATTTTATTAATTATACTATTTTTTATTATTTTATGTAATTATTCCCTTAAGATTTGTGCTTTAGAATTTACTTATAACATCTTGAGGCTACTCTTTTTTACTGCATGTTTTAATATGATTGAAGTATAATAAGATTTTTATTCTTGCCCTTCAACATGTTTGAAATACAAATAGTTGTCACTTTGAGCTTTATTGTTTTTCTTTTGGTCCCTTGCATTTAAATTATATAAAATATTTTTTATGACCTTGAGTTTATGATTGAAGCAATTAGGTTGCTGAATTGTTTGTTAAATTCTTCTCTACGTCTCTTATGTGCAAAATGAAAGAAAATATGTGCAAATATAAAAGAGAATAAAAAAAGCAATCAAACTTGATTGTAACTACAAAACATCTCTTCCTTTACTATATTTACAATCTCATCATTATAATATATTAGCACATGAACATAACTATTTATCATCTTATTAGGATTTCCACACTTAATTTGAAAATTTTTCAAACATAACGATACAAGTTAGGAACTGTGCATGTCTATTTAGAGTAATCAAGCAAGTCAGTTTGTATTAAAATCTATTTTAATCGACTTCTATTTTACACTAAAATCGACTTTAATTATAGAAGTTGGTTATATGAAAGTAAATTAAATAGAAGTTAGTTATATGAAAGTAAATTAAAATCAACTTCTACGTTAAAAGTATTTAAAAGTTCAACAAAAGTTGATTAAAGTCAACTTCAATATAAAATTTTTAAATAATAAAAGTTAATTCAAATTAACTTTTATTTAAGTTCAATGGAAATTTTTTTTAAAAAAATGGTTAAAGTAAACTTCTTTTATAATAAAATAAAAATAAAAATGTAAACAAATACAAATAACGGCATTAGCAATATACGTTTTAAATTCTTTTATTTACGTGAAAAATCCAATAGACTTGCGAATTTGATTATATTAAAAATTTAAATTTAAAATTTAGTCTGCCTTTTATGATAGATTAGATCTTTATATCTATATTTTTGTCGGCCTTAGGGCCAATTTCCTTATATTTTTTCTTGCATGAACTTCGTTTTGACTTGAGAAAAGATTAACAATGATTATGTAATATACAATTATTTATGTGTATGACTAAGTGTTGTGTTAGACCTTTTTTTCTTCCATTGTTCTAATAAGAAAAGGTCGAACTACATCACAAGGTAAGCAATTGTTTACCCCGTGTGTCCAAGTTACACTTCTCTGCAAGACATGTTAAAAACGGAATATAAAAAAAAAAATTTGAATCGTTTTACCTTTTGTACTTACAAAACGCGTAAATTATTAAATAATATATATATTAAAGGATGTTTATATTTATAAAACAATAGATAAGATGGCCAGAGTAACCCAAAACAATGTTTCTTAAATTATTAGAAGTGGATACTTTAGATATCTCATTACAATTAATGAATATTTTGAGACGTGTGTACGATAAATACTTAATTTTGTTTCGATGAATACATAAACTCTTAATTATAATACAGACAACCTATTTTTAATTGGATAAAACCTGAATTAATTTAAAATGTACCTAAACTGATTGAAGCATAATCCCCAATAAAAATGAAACACTATAATCTAGGGTAAGATGTTTGGAGAGCAAGTTTATGCAAGTTCTTCCTCAGAATCTTTCCCGCAGCATTCTTCGGAATGGAATCGATAAATGCTACACGCCTTATTTTCTTGTATGGTGCAACCTGCAACCAAGAAAAAAACACAAAATAATTATGAATTTAATTTAAACAGTGTAAAAATCTTTATCCTGTAACTCAATTATGTATTATCAAATTAATAAAAAAATATCAATTTTTACGATGATTAATATAATTCTAATTAAATGACAGTATAAAAGATATTACATCAGAATTAAACTCATTCATCTGTATAGCTGCATTCGACATGCAATACGAAGAAAAATAACATGAAAAATTCAGTTTTGTTTTCACAAATCAAGTTTTATATTTTTTTTCTCTATAGACAAGAAAGTAGAAGGGAAAATCACCTGTTTGGCGACAAAATTAATTATTTCTGCTTGGCCAAGGGAACTTTGGGGTTGTCTTACCACAAATGCCATGGGCACCTGGCCGGCTTCTTCATCAGGGTATCTGTTAATGATTTATGAAATTGAAGATCATTAATTCTTATATGACATCAAAATTTGCCCTCATTTAGATGAACTTATCAATGAAAAAAAATAAAAATAATATAATAAATAAATAAAACTTTTCTCATAAATTAAAAAATAACTTATTTTTTAAGTTCTAGAAAAATTAAATAAAATTAACTTTTAAAAATAAAAATAAAAATTAATTTTAACTTATAAGAAAAATTTTATTTATTTTATATTTTTTTCTCATAAAAACTTATTTACTAGTTCAACCAAACAAAACTTTGTCTTTATGTAAATTAGGAATGACAATGGGTAGGGTACTATAGTATCCATTCCCATACTGGCGTTTTAAAAAAATACTCATACTCGGCCCAATACTCGCGTGAGTATGAACATTAATTCTGTATCTTGTGTAAGATTTGATCGATTGACAATGTCAGAGCGACAACGAAATAGATTTGCATAATGGTTGTCCCTTCGTGTGGGATCACTTGGTGACCTCTTGTGACGACATTGACAACTAACTCTAATGAATAACATTTTATAATTGTTAGGTTTTAATGAAACAAACATTGAGAATGAGAATAGAGTTAGAGTAAAGAAGTTCAATACTAACAACAGAAAGTGAATACATAAAAAATATATTTTTTAACTTTTGAATTTGAAATTGTAAGAAAAATAATAGATTTAATTAAAATAATATAATATAATTAATATATATATATATATATTAATACTAGTATTTTTAACTCATATTATACGAAAATATTTTATCAAAAATATAAATTTTTAAAAAATTATTTTAATAAATTAAATATTTATAATGTATATAAATTTTACAAGAAAGAATTTGAATAAAAGATAAATAGTCATAATAAAATTTTATAATAAAGAAATATACGTGTATATTAAAAAAATTATACTTTTTTATTTGAAAAAAATTAACAAATAAAAATTAACAATAATTTTTTATATTTATATCTTTTCAAAAATTTCTTTGAACGTGAATAAATAGTAAGAATAATATTATTTAGATTTAATATATTATAGTTGTGCTTGTAATATATATGTTGCATAGAAAATATTATTTTAAATTAAAATATAAAAAATAAAATTTAAATATTATTAATAAATAATAAATTTATGATAATAGTAGGTGATTGTACAATTTATAAAATATTTATAATATATTTATTATTTATCATTCACTTTAAGATTTAAACATCAATATGATTTTATTACAAAAATATTTATGTGAAAAATATTTTATGTGTCATATATAAATAATATTTTAAAAAAAGTCAATCACATATTAACTATATAATAATTAAATTGTATTAGCCTAATTAAATGATATAAAATAGTAAATAAATTTTTCTATTAAAAATATAAATCAAAATAAATTTTTTAGTCTATTTTATTATTAAATATATTTTTATATTAATCTTATATAACTTCATATAAGTAATATAATAATACAAAAATTTAATGCATAATTATAGAATAAAGTTCAAGCATATATATATATATATATATATATATATATATATAGCATAAGAAAATAGTAAAATCTTCTCCTATAAATTGTAAGCTCTGCTTCATTTGAAGACACGAGCAAAAATACCCAATAGAAAAACTCTCTCATAGAAATCTTTCCTTGGTAAACTTGATGTTTCCTTGAGATAGCCTACAAGAACTTTGGTATCATCATATTGTAAGTTTTATCAAATTTTGAATACATTATCATATTTTCATCATGTTTATCGTATTTAAATCAGAACTGTATCGATCCTTCAAACCTGGTATCAGAGCCTAGACGGGTTCTGATTTCAAGAGGGGAGAGAGAGGTTCAAACATTTTATGATTTGAATATTATGCCATACAACGTCATCATGCCTTTCTATATCTATGATATCCTCGGAGAATTTGAATTTTATCATCCGGTTGATATTAGAAGAAAATTAAGAGAATTTAGAAAACTTCTACAAAAGACTCAAGATAGAACTGAAAGAAAAATGCTTCTTATAGATATCATAGAAAATAAGAAAGACTTGAAAGTGCTTTCAAGAGCTTGAAATTTTATCATATGTTTTCATTATCATTGTTATTATTAATCTGCCATATCTTGAGTAAAGTTATCCGTTCAATTATAAGTCGGTCATTTAAAATCTAAATGGGTAACAGTGAAGGCTGTGTATACGTTGGTAAGCTTAGAGGTGTTCCCGGTAGTAAGTCCTAAGAGTAGGCAGTAAAACCGTTGGTAAGCCTGGGTGTTCCCGTAACCTATAGGATTGAAAATGGCAAACTTATTAAGAACAATGAGTAACCTAACTCTAGGTAGAAACAGAGAAATAATACCAAGAGTAATGAGAACAGAGGATGAAAATTCATCTTCTTTGTCAGCTCCTTCATCTACTCCACAACAAGTAACTATAGATGATATAGAACAATCTCTACAAGACTGGTCTATACCAGTCATAAAAGATAAAGAAGTATATCAACAGAGATCATTTTGGTCTCTACATAACAATAGAGAACAGATACATAAAATAGAATATTCCTACCCTGGAACAATAGGAAATTCAGAAATACAATTATTAAAAGATGAATTATTACAAAAACATAAAAATGAAGGCTTTAAGTTTATTCATATAGGGTTAATACAATTAGCTGTAAAACCAAACTACAAGTTGGGTGTTGACCTCCCTATATTTGTATTATTAAGAGACATGAAATTAATTAAAACCAGAGATTCAATAATTGCGGCCTTAGAAAGCAACCTCCACGATGGGCCTGCTTTCTTTAATTGTTACCCAAACTTCGCCATGTCTTTAGACAACAATAAGACATCCAAAGCTATTAAGATATTTACAAAAATACCAAAAGATATAGTAGATGACTCTTTTGATCCGTTTCATGTGATTTATAGAGTCTGCTACAAGGTAACAAAGATAAATTATGATTATAGGGAAAATAGACAGATAAACAAAAATGAAACTGTTATAGTTCAAGCTAATTTAAATAGAAGTTTGGTACAAGTTCCTAAAAGACTAAGACACGACCAATTAACCATACCAGAAGAATGGGTTTTGGATGAACGCTCTTATAAAAAACAAGAACATACGGAAATTAGAGATATAATAGAGGAACCAGAAAGGTTTAGATTAAGAATGAATAGATCTAGTTCAATACGAATAACACAACCATCCACTATTAGAGAACCTTCGAGACATTCTATTAGTGGATCCACAGTAGACATAGACTTGACCAAATTAGATAACATAACTAAACTTGGAATATCTATTCCAGTTTATGATCAACATTCAGAAATTAATTATAGTCCAACACCTTCCCAAGTCCTTAATACAATAGAAAAAATTGAGAAATTCATAATAGATAAAAATTGGATTAAAGAAGATATAAATGCACAACATAATATAGACAGAAAAACCTGGTTATTTGAAACATTTAACCAACAACAAAGAATAGAAATCAGAGAAAAATTTTATAAATACCTAGAAAAAATACAAATAAATACTTATTTTTTTTCCATGGATGGAAAAATATTGCATAAAAAATAATATAGATTATCCATTTAATAAAGAAATAAACCCCTTACAAAAAATTACAAATATATGGAAAACAACCACAGGAAAAATAATAGAAGCTGAATATCCTCCTTTAGAACAAATAAAAATACAAGTAGAAAATGAAGAAGTAGAAGCTAGTCCATATAAAAAAACTAATGAAAATAATGATCTAATAAGTAAAAAAGATATAAACAAAATACATCAACAACTAAACTATTCTAATACAATAATTAATTTAATAACTAACCAATTAAAAAGAATAGAAAATAATAAAGAAAACCCCAATAATAACAACAGTACTAAAAAATTACATTATTTAGATAAACCAATATATCCGATTACCACCATGTCAGCCCAAGCCATAAAAGAACTAGGGAAAAAATCTGGACTTGAGTCAGACATAGAAGAGATAAAAACAAAAATAGCTAGATTAAGTCTAGAAAAACAAACAATAAATACCTTAGAAGTCAATAAAATCTATGAACATCCAAAAATAAAACATTATTATAGAAGACCATCTCTACCAGATGTTGCCTTAGAAAATAGGTCACACTTTGTACAAAACTCTTATGGAGGCAATGACATCGTAGAATGGAATATCGATGGTGCCTCAGAACAACAAATTTTCGATATTACACAACAAATGGCCATGGCGGCTACCGCTTACAAAATGAAAAATGCCTCTGATAGAGTAACAGCTGAAGCAATTGTACAAGGCTTCACTGGACAATTGAGAGGTTGGTGGGATAACTATATAACTCTTGTAGACAAAGAATTCATTTTAGGACATGTTAAACAAGAAAATAATGAACAAGATGCTATTGTAACATTAATATATACAATATTACTACATTTTACAGGAGACCCCATAGTATTTAGAGAAAGAGTAAGAGAACAATTACATAAACTTAGATGTCCAACCATGTCTGATTATGAATGGTATAAAGATATGTTTATGTCAAAAGTCATGATGTTAGAAGATGCAAGTGAATCATATTGGAAGGAAAAGTTCATTTTTGGACTTCCTTCATTATTTGCAATAAAAGTAATAGAAAATATTAAAGCAAGACTAGGAGAACATATAGATTACAAAACATTAACAATAGGGCAATTACATGGTTTTGCTATAGATACAGGAATAAAAATATGTGGAGATATAAAATTACAAAAACAAATACAAAAACAAGAAATAATAGGAAAAGCAGAATTAGGAAGTTTTTGTGTTCAGTATGGAATAGAACCTATACAGGCTCCTAGTAGAAGAATTAAGAAAGCCAATAAAAGAAAGCAAAATCAAAATCCTCCTAATTATCAAAAACAATATAAAAGAAACAAAAAACCATATAAGAAAACCCCTCCACAACAACAAAATAATAATAATAATAATAATCAGTTTAAAGGAAAT